AACCCAGGTTTCCAGGGTTATATCACGCACGGACAACGACTGTTCCACTGTGTTCCCCAAAACAGATGAAAGTCTCCCACGTACAATGTTTTCGAACGTGTCGATTACGAGCAACTTAATAAGACTGGCAAAGGGTATGAGTGGCTCGTGTGTTAGCATTTTGCCTGGCCGCCTTTGTTTCCCGAAATGTTAACATTTACCACACCATGTACTCATTTAAATCTGAGCTGATCTAAGGGAGGTTCCAAGACTGGTTCAGCTGTTACGTTCCACGGATGTGCATGAATGGAAATTGAATCCAGGTCATCGGGTTCAGAGCAAGTAATTATCTTCTAACCACTGCACCACTGCTTTCCATTGCGCTACGAACCCAGCAACTGAAATTAGATTCCTGGCCATGCGCTAAACACCGCTCTAAACCGCTCCCCCACCACAGACTGTTGGGGAAAGTGATGTTAGCGAGCACCCATTAAGGCTGCACACGGCGAGAAACAAAATTACGCAACAGCCGCTATTCGACGCTAAGTGGTAGTGGCGGCAACACAGCGCTTGTGCCAGCCTAAGTGCACTTTGAGGCCATCACGTGAAGTGTGGAGGGCTCCCTGTTGGCAGGAGGCCACGGGACAAACCCAGGTGTTATGGATTAACTGACCGAGATGACTGGCAGATGCGCCACCTGTGCTGCCCACATTGTCTACACACAAAGTTAAAGATCCCCCGTGTAGCCTTAACAGACTGTTGGGGCGAGTGCTGCTAGCGAGCACCTATGAAGGCCGGCACGGCACACGAGCGGGTGGGTGGCCAGAAACACGCCCGGCCGCCTTTGTCTCCCCTGTGGTGATGTTTTACACACCACACCAGGAACTAATTTGAGGCTGAGTCGACCCAAGGATAATAACCGGCCGTGAGCGGGAATCGACCTCGGGCCGGCGGGTTCGCAGCGAAACGTGCTAAAACCACGACACCACCGCTCCCCACAAGGACAGACAGACATTCACACACACACAGAGAGAAGGAGGCACGGACACGGGGCGGCGCGTACCAACATCCCGGATGAGATGCGAGCGCTGCTCTGCGCCCAGGCGCACGTGCTGGAGCCCCGTGAGGGCCTTGCCGAAGGCCACAATGTAGCTATCCACGGGCCGCGCCGACTCAGCGTCGCGCGGAGGCAGCCACGAAACGCGGAGGCCCTCCTGCTGCGCGCCGGCACTCACCCGCACCTGCTGGGGCTTGAGCGGGTGCCCCGGGAGGGCAGCTGGTGGGATGCCGCGGAGAGGGCAGCAGCAGCAGCAGCGTGTTTGTTGCGGTTGCACCCGAGTCAAGAGCCGCATGGCTCACAGGGTTATACCTAATAAATGAAACTGAAAACTGAAACTGAAAGTCGCACCGCCGCAGGGCTGAATTAATTCCCGCGTGGTGGTTGGAGGTGTGGTGAGGGCATCTCAGGGGCAGCAACCTCGGTGGTCTCGGGTAAGTTCAGAATCAGAATATTTGCACTGGAGGAATCCGATGAGGCATGAAGCTCTTTTTACGAGGAGGCCCTCGGAAATAGATACGAAAAGCGGCGTATGGTGCCTGGTCGTAGTGGTCGAGTTGGCCAAATACCCACCTCTCTCCAGTGCTCCTTGCAGTGGAGGCCCTTCTGCCAGCAGTGGCGTGAGCAGGAAATTGCAGGGCTGCACCTTTACCAAAAACGTATTTGGAGCTTCATAATACTTAGTACTGTAATGGTTGAAACCCAATGCTGCACGGTACTGCGGCAGTTCAGTTGTTCCATTCCACTGATTTGGTAATGTAAAGCCAGGGGCATGGCTGTGTGCGCTGCAAGAAATTGGGTGCCGCGATGAAAATAGTTTGTTTTGAACTTCGCATTTATCGTCACGATGATTCCTACATCATGTTGTAAAAGTGGAAATGAAATAGCCAAGCGGGGGAAAAAAAAACAATGAGGCATTTAGCATCGGGCATTGGGTGGTGGTAAAATAGTCCAGGGAAGGAATTTAATTTACAAAAAAACTATTAGGTCCAAGCCCCCCCCCCCCCCCCCCCCATCAAAACTGAATCCGGGCCTGCCTCGCACGTATCGTATGGGTGAGGTGGAGAGGGACACGCGGTGAGGAATGAGTGACAAGCAGTGGCTTAATTTCTCACTCGATATTTTTTTCCGGAACGCGGCTTGCTAGGCCGGCTGGCTAGCTCGGAGTGGTAGGGATTATCGGCGTAAGGCACTACAACTAGAGTACAAGGTAAACCTATCCATAATCATCCTATATTATTGCACACTGATTCATGATTCGTTTTCTTTGGGATAGATTGTCGTGTAGGTTTGATGTCATTTCTTAACTACAACCCTTCACCACCCGACACAGCCAATAAAATCGAGTTGGCAATTTGGCAAATATGCCAACTGCTGATTCAGGTTAAAGTTTGTTTTCATGACATACCTACATTATCTAACCCAAAAATCTACTCATTATGAATCATATTGGTCGTTAAAGCTAACTTATAAAATTCATTATTGCAACCCTATATTCCTATGAACGGGCGTATGACTGGGAAAAAAAAAACATTCATACAACAACAATAATAATGGCAAAATAATTCCTCGGAACAGCGTTCCGGAGTGTTCCGGCTGAAATTAAGCAGAACGAGTGGTAACCGCTGCCATGTGCTCAGGTCCGCGTGTGGGTCACACCGTGGATGGGCGAAGCAAACCCTTCGCAGTGGGTGGAATGCGAAATGAGTTTCAGTCAGTGGTCTCGCGTGTGCAGCATGAGCGCCGCCCGTAAAAAAACAAAAAAAAGTGACAAAACACACACGCGCGCACACACAACAACGTAATCAGAGAGCAGCACATGCGGAGATTGGGGAAACGACCGAGAAGAGCATGCAGGAATTTAATAAATAAGTTGGGGGCAGTGGAGGAAGTCGGCAGGATGAAAGCCCCTTCAAAGTGATTCTTGGGACACACACCGGTTTTGTCTGACCAAGGCTTTGGATTAGGTGGGGTGGGGGGAAATGAGTGGGGTGGCGGCCGGGGGGGGAGGGGTGAAACTCGGAATGTACAATAACAGTACGAGGCAGATCCATCTTAATACCATTTTTGGCATTTTTCCCCAGGATCGGCTTCATTGTGCACTTGGCATCATCGCGTCACTCAGACGAAGAACACATTCGCGGAGCAGTGCAGCCCTTGGTGTTGGGGGAATGGCTCGCGGAAGCGGACATCACAGAGCTACCTCTGAGAGCTCTTCGAGTGGCTTCCATTCCACACAGTAGGGGGCATAACTTTTTCAAAACCCACTCTGCATATGAGGGTATTGTTTACCTTTATGAAATGCAAACCAATGTTTGTATTCTCAGAGCTGGAATTTTGCCAAATTAAAGGTAGCATTAAATAGAATGCAATGGGGGTCCTGTTTCTTCGTTTGTACAGCCATTAGTGACTGGGTTGAGACCTTCAACTCACTGCAGTTGAGAACCAAGTTTAATCACAGACAGCTGCCTTGATTCAAATCCAGGATCTCAGCAGTGCGAGCTCAGCGCTCTGACATTTGAGCCGCTTCTCCTGCATATTGTTCGTGACACTTATGGGTAGAGATTACCCCTTCCACCCACTTGAGACATTAAGAGACACTGCTAGCTTTGCTGCTGCTGCTGCTGGCGCGAGATACTGCCTCGCTTCTGCACGGCAGAAATAAATGATAACGCCACAAATAGAACCGTCCACCGCCCCGAGTCAAGTGCACACGATAATAGGCGACACTAAACTATTACTGTCCATTAGCGAGGTGACCGGCAGTGGCACAGCGCATCAAACTAGACACTTCATAAATATTTATACGACTATATTCTCACCTCGACCGAGGCGTCTGGCCAGCATGGATTGCTAAGGCCAACTGTGCCCTAGAGGGGGCTTTTTAGAACTCCCTCTGGTGGACCATCCCTGCCACCAGCAGTGAGGTGAGCAAGCAATTTGCAGGTCAGCACCGTGAACGATTTGACTCGCTCTCAAAAAAAGTGTGCAGGGTCGTACATGAAGGCGTAACGTTTGCATGAGTTACGATCATTTCGCCACAATAATAATCGTGCAATCCTTGGTCAACTCACTGCTGAGCGAAGGCTTCGTCACGCCGCGTTGGGCAAAACGGAGGTTGTCCGACCACCCTTCACCAACCTGCTTAGTGCAGGTTGGTGAAAGGTGAGAAGGGGCAAGACCGGTTCAGATATCACACCGGGTCTTGGCTGCAGTGTTAGAACGATAGGTTGTAAATGAGGATATCACCCGCTACGGATGTGAGCCATGGGCCGGCGTGGAGCTCGGGTTGATGCCGTTCATCGCGCAGTCAACTAACCACTGTGCCACTGGTTCATCCCCAATAATACAACAATCGCATAAAATCCGCAAGCATTTGTAAATTCATAATAGTAATAATAAGAAAACACATACAATCATCAACATATTACATCTACCTACGAAACATGTTCAGGCTGTCTTAACGGTTTATGATGAAAATTTTTCTGAATCTAACAATTCGTGCAATATATCTTATCAAATGACTGACTAATATGTGACAACGTCTGTTTTATTTTGGTAGTTTTTAGGCATGCCTTCCGCTTTTTTGTCTGTCTGACCAGACATGTAAAAGTTACCACTGAGCAGTACCTAAGTTAACCAAGTAAATGTTTCTTATCCCATGCAGCTCAAGGGGTGCTTGATTCAGGAAAAAATATCAGCTCAAATTTAAATGCACTATAATCAGATATCAGCCCACATTCGTATCCTCTCTCTATCGATACTTACCCGACCACATCGATATTTTCGTACGCATTTCATTTGTTTATCTCACTTTCTACATTTCTATATATTCTGTCACTTAAACAAAATTGTATTACTTGAAAGTGTCAGTGGGAGCGCGCCCCGCAAATAAATAATTTCAACCCAGGTGCCCCCAACAGACCAAGTGACACACCGCCGGGACCCAACGTTGTCCACGTACCTCTTTCATCAGCCACACTGCACCCGAGCAGAGCATGCCAAGCCAGCAAACACACGAATACTACCCGCATGGTTAACGTCCTCTTATCAGCTCATGGAGATTTCAATTCACTCGGCTCGGATCGCCCGGTCGTGGCCGCTTCGGAACGGGGACGAGCTCAGATCCTGCACGGTCGTCCCGAGCCAGGAGAAACAAAAAAAAAGATCTGGGCGGGGACGCAGCTGGGATTGCACTGAGCTGCCGGAGTGGGGGGGAAGAAGGAAAACCAACTTGGGGAGGAGGAGGAGGAGGGGGGGGGCGCCGTTTTAGGGACTGGGAGAGGCTTTAGGATTGTCCCGTAGCACAGAAACTCCGGCATCAGCTGGGGGAATTTTTGTTTCCGAAAGTTTTTTGGGCTGGGCAGGGTGGGCCCGTTGCATTGGCTGCTTGGCAGAGATCCAGCCCTGACAGGGCACCGTGGGCTCGCAAAGTGTGAAGGCGGCGCCGCGATCGTGTCCACTTGTAAATCGGGACGCAGAGCTGCTGACGATCAATTCGATTCCGCCGCACTGGACTTGCAACACCACCTCTGGACATTTGCTCGTCGCCCGCCGCTGTGAAGCGCTCATGCCAGCATCGCTTGGTCCGGTGATGGATGTTCCCTCCCGTGCGCATGGCAGACTTGCATACTTGCAGAAAGCAGCAACGTGTCCAAGAAATCCTGCGCTCTTGCAGCGTGCACCGAGGAGAAGGAATGCGCGCTGTTGACTTTGAAATTAAAATCCGCCAATAGGCCGGAAGCTTTGACGAACTTTTATTTTTCTTCGCGAGGCCGATTTAATAATATACATTTTTTGGTTAATATATTTTTCTTTAATTAGGACAAAAAAAGCTACAAACTGTTCATCATCCCCGAGGTCACACTTGAGTGCCCGCTGTGTATAATCCTGGCGAAGCTGCTTCTGATATACGCGATCAAGTGGCAGTCTCATTAAAAATTACCCAGATTAAAATCTCTCCATTTAACGCCTTCTGTTCGGTGCGTGATTGCCCAGTGATGGCAACTAAAGCTCACCTGCAACTGCTCTTCGTGATTTCAATCATGCGCGTGTGTCTTCATAATAAATGCGTATCTCAAATCGGCTTGGGTTATACTTCACAGCTTATTGATTACAGCCTCAAGACTCGCAGCACCCTGCGTTTCAACTTGCAGCATGCACTGTGCTGAATTTAACATGCACACGTCTCTGATTAATTATCAATGGTCGAGATAAATGGATTGGGTTGCCTAATAATAACAGAGCCCGTATCGATTAGTACACTGCACAGCTAGCCTGCATGCTATAGATCGGAATTGAGGTTTGGTGATGAACGAGTTTAGCACCAATTCTTTATAGAGCGAAAATTCACAACATTGTAGGCAACGCGAGCGCAGCGTTGTAGCCAACTAGGCAATGAACAAACAATCATATAAAGAATCGAGGGACCCAGACCGCCACTGCACGATCATGTATGAAGAATATTACAAAAACAGGGGTCCAGCAAAAGCAAATCGCAACGGCAGTGGAAGGAACGGATTGAAAGAGGCACTCTAAACATCAGAGGGGGGATACGGTGATCGTCAACGGTGGGGGACTGCTGTGTCACCGCTATTGCTGGCAATTCGTGGACCCAGTGAAATATGTTAAAGGCGGCTGGATTGAGGGGAAGACGCAAGAGATGGCCCTACATGTGTTACCATTTTCAATCCTTCACACAGAGACACTCTGCTTCCAGCACATGTCACATTTGAAGAATGGGAAGAGAGCTCAGAAGTGTTCGAAACTACGCTAAAATGTTAATGATTTTTTTTAGCCATGGCTTTTTCGCCATAGGTCAGAGGTCATCGCTGGTACATTTCGGTGAGCATGAGCCCTTACTCCGCTTTGTACGACAACAACTACTCAAGTGCTGTGACTGCCAGACTGACGCACTCACAAACAAAGTTTATTAAAAGGTAGATGTATACAACTCACTGCTGCTGCATGTTCGAGACTTTTTACAGACATTTGCATGAATGTGCATATGTAGAACTTCTTTCGCCCTGTACGTAGTCAACCGTGCACACCCGTGGACCTCTGTGCAATTTGGATCGCCTTCACATACACATGCACACACCTGTGTATACAGTTCATACCGTATATCATTAATGCGCAGCTATCTTGTCTGCATTCTCTCGCGCAAGTGCAATACTGCAAAGCGAAATAACAATCAAGTTTCTATTATTAATATTACGCAGGAACGCTAAAGTATTTTGTAAATTCAGGCATTAAAAGTTGCAGAACAGAAAACTCGGGTGCACGCCCACCAACCGCACCGCTCATCAGACCTTGCAACCTTCCCTACGAGCCCACAATCTACCGCGCAGAGGTTCTTTATGTAACAATTTAGCTTCCCCGTCTGCACTTCAAAAATACACGGAGCATTAAAAACGTTAAAAAAGAGACTTTCACTGGTGAAGGACACGCCATTAGCTAACCTTCCTGCCACGGGGGTGACACCGATATTTGGCGGCGTTAGGGGGATGTGGCCTGGTTGGGATTGGCCCTGGTGCGAGGGGGGGTGAAAGCCCCCCCCATTGATAGCCTGGCATCTGGGCCCCTTCTGCCTGTGGGCCCCAGTGCAATTGGATTGTCTGAACAATTGATAATTAATTATGCCATGGTTGGGGTGAACGGGGTGGAATTGTTACATTGTTAATGGACCGTGTATTTAGGTTTTTTATGTGCAATGTAAAACCGTGTGTGCTCGTGACGCATGGATCAAACACCTCCGATTAGCACGGTCGGCTACGCACGGTGCGAAAGAAGTTTAACGTACATACAAAAAAGATGGATACGAGGACAATAACAAGTAAAGTTCTACAAAAGCTGAAACGTGCACGTAGAAGCATGGTTTGAATTAGGAAGAGGACCACATTGATTGAAAGGCATAAGCTAGTTAGAAACATCATATTGACTGTGAAGAAAATTAAGTAGGCTTCATTCAGCAGGACGTGTAACTCTAGGCGATGATGGCCTGTGGTCGAGAATAATTACGGAGTAGCAGCCAAAGAAGTGAAGGTGCCAGAGAGGCCGTAAACCGCGGAGGTTGATCAATGAAATCAGCCGGTGTGCAGGCGCGCAATGGATTGTTGCAGGACTGTGAGGAATGGCAGCAGCATGGAGAGCCCTTCATCCAGCAGTGGATAGAGAACGGCTGAACATGATGACGAACGATCACACAGTAGATACTTTTTACTGGTTAAAACATTCAATCAGATGGCTACGCTCTGTCCTCCAAGCTAGTCGTTGTGCTCGGGGATTTTTTATTTTTTTATGGGGGGCTTGAATATTGGACAGCTTCATAGCTCGTCGGATTCCTTCAGTGTCAATAAATATTATGATTCTGAAATATGTTTGCGCCTTCCAAGCCTACCAGGTACAGAGAGCGACGGCTTCCCACTCAGTGGCGTTGCTATTGAACGTGCAGGCGGTGCAACTGCACCAGAGCCTCGTGGGTCACAGGGGCCCAGGTGCCGAGGTACAAAGAGAGGGAAATGGACAGTGGTGGCGGGGAGAGGGAGGGCCTTTAACACCTTGCACCAGAAACCATGCTTCCAAATTTACCCCCCTCGGACACTGTCGATGGCTTTCCTTGACACATCAAATGAGGTGCGAAATCCAAATGGCGCATTCAAGTTGGCCTGACAGACTATTGAAATGTTATAGCCCCCTTTCGTGGAGTCTGGCTGCCCTCTACTTGCAGCTACACTCACTGCAGCCAATACAATTAGCTTGGGATGAATTACGCGGTGGGGTTGACTACGCATATGCCCGTAATCCAACGCTGCGGAGGCGATGCTGGTGGATCGCGCAATGCCGCGAGACTCCCTTCGAGGTGTCCATACCCCGGTTTGCCGGGAGAAGGCGGTAGGGCAAAAAAATATATGGGCTCCATCTGTTCCGTCTGTATGGGATAGAGTGTTTCGCCCTTGCGTATGTGGGGTTTTCTCTGGGTGCTCCGGTGTCCTCCAAACATGGAAAACACTCATCAATGGGCCGATAACACCTTAATATGTGGAGGACCGCAGAGTTTGCGAAGATTGTTGGCTCAGTGCGTGGCTTCTGCCTTCCCGCTTGTCTGCAGTTTCTCGCGTCTCCGAGTCGTTTCTCTGTCTGAGAATAATAATTGTGATGAGTTATCAATTAATACTGTGCGACGTATTAAGTTGAAATTATAGTTAATTTCTCAATGCAACTGCATCTCAAAATGTGCTTCATGGGGTAAATCGAGGTGTATATATGCCGTGCAAGTGGAGCGGTCGTGCAGTGGTTGGTGGCCAATACTGGTGACCTAGTGCCCTGGATTCGACCCCCAGCCACAGTTAACAATCAGTGGTGATTGATGCCAAAACTGATCCTTGGCCCCTCCTGTACCAACCTCACTGACCAAAATGGTGAAATATCAGAATGTTTATTTAGACTGGAGGAATCCTATGAGCTATGTTTCACAGATGTCCAGTAGTGTGCAGTAGTCCAGTCGTGGTGAAATATGATGAAACAATCCCCACGGATTTTCACGGAATGGAAAGTCCTTTATCCAGCTGTGGATTGACAAAGAGATGCAAATTCTTAGCTTTAATAATGCTCTTGCATTGTTTATTCGTAGTTTACAAACATTTAAATAATTGATAATTAATTATTCGTACAGCAAATATTATGGTAACCTTGAATCGCACTGAATGTGTGCAGTAGCTGGGCAGATTGTTGTATCGCAGGACTTAGATATGAAGGTAGCATGGGAAGGCCTTGGCCTAGCAGTGGATGGATCATGGCTGATGATGATGCTGTGTATAAACTTTTACTTTGATGTGACCCACATCATCTGTATGCTTTTCCTTACGCTCCTATACAGAACAGTTTGGCTTCTTAATGTGGTATTCATAAACTAGGGTTTACATCATGTCTGTCCATGAACAGCCAATTCAAGCCGACTCGAGTGCACTTTCGTTGGCTTGTACTTGAGTTGAAGGGCAAATCAAGTTGATCAAAGAAAAGTAACGTTTCTATGATGAATCTAAGTTGCTCCAGTCATCACGTGAGTTGGGCAAGTCTTTCCCATAAATACTTCTGAGTTAAGAGCATTCCCAGAAATGCTTGCGAGTCAAGGTCAAGATTGCACTGTTTTTAAATTTAATTGCCGCCACCCACGACATTTTTTAAACAGACGTACTTTGCAATGTATTTCGCTCCGCCGTGAATTCTCACCGAGGGAATTTACGCCAGCCCATGAAGCGGAATTGTTTCCCGTTGAATATTTTTTTTTTAAACACGAAAACGCGGTGACATGGCCTAGCGTAAAGGGGTCGGCAAAACTGCGGCTCCGGAGCCACATGCGGCTCGTTTAAGGGAATGCTTCGCAACGTTGTTTATGAAGGATCACCGTCTCGAATTCGAAAAAAAATGGTCTTTCTTGTTATTTTGGTTGCTGACCCCTGGCCGAGCGGTAGCACATTCGCCGCTTACTGCAGGTGTCATAACCGCAATAGCATGCGCCGTTAATGACCCCGTGGTGTCATTCGCTAGAGTAGGCCATTCTATTCTTGTGCGTGGCAATACGTTCAGGAGCTAAATTCCAATATCGAGGTCCGTCAGCCACGAGAGGGCTTCAGAAGAGGGAGTTCACGCAGTGTTGCTGTTTCTCCTCCAGAATTCAGTGGTTTACGATGTGGTCCATAGTTTGGGTTGCATGGCCACGATCGTACATTTTTGCCTGTCTTTCAATATAAATTGTGAAGGACATGTTGGCATTTACCTGTTGATGTTCTGATGCAGTTGATGGTTACACCAGCGTCTTCGAGGTTTGCCAAAGCCAGGAAGTGCGTTGTTTGGGGTCTCGAATGAGGTGTTTTATTATTCGGGACGTCTGCGTTGTTGCACTCTCTCCGCCAGCATTCTTCCGGATCTGGGTGAGATTCTAGGATGGTGACAGCGCGATCCCAGAAAGGAGGATAGGGACAAGAGCTGGCGGCGAGGTACATTGTTGAGGTCTTGGTTGATGGGTAGGTTGTCATTGGCAAGAAAACGTGTAAATTCCATTACAGTTTGCATGTCTCCGTGGATATTTGTGGCAGAATATTCGCCAGAACAGGCAGCCAGGGGATTGGTGTCGGTTTCAGTGTTCAGATTATGATGTGCATTGTGTTATTTAATTATGCATTGAGCAGTTTTGTGTACGAACTCCCGGTCTAGGCTATCGCATTACACTGACGTGACCAGGAGTCTGAAACCAAAAATCTAATTCTGTAAAAAAACCTCAATATTTAAAGAGCCGCAATGCCACGTGGCGAATACGAGATTGGTGGGTCCTTAATAAACAACGTCACGAAGCAGTCCTCAAAGAGCCGCGTACGGATTCGGAGCCGCAAGTTGCCGATCCCTGGACTAGATCAACGAGAGGGTGGCAGTTCACAGCACATCAGCTGAGGCCTCAAGGTCCTTCCTGCACCTTTCTGTGGCAGGGCGATTGTATATGGGCGTCAGAGTCCAAAGTCGGAATTTACACCGCAAATCACTCGGTTGGGACTATACACAGCAATCATCACCCCTTACTGGTAGACTAATGCCCCAGGGGGGCTATTGTAAGTGAGAATATCGTGGTCTATTGACTTCTCACCTGGTTAAACAAAACAAATGTGAACTTAAACTTGAGAGAGGCTGTGGGTCATTGACACCTGTGAAAAAGAGCTTTATAGGTCATCGGATTCCTCCAAAATAAATAAAGATTCTGATTCTGAAGTTGGTTTGGGCGAAGACACGTGGCTAGAAGGGATCGTGATGGCATGTGGTCGAGACGAACGAAACAGTGGAAGCCAAAGGGGAGATAACACGCTCAAGAGGACATAGTGGCTGGGAAACATGAAGGCTTCTTCACAATTCTGGATAATCGCCTGATGAAGCTGGTTGTTGTAATCACCAGCGAAACGTCGTAATTCGAATTGTAAATGTTGCGGTCTGTTCACATGTCGGGTGGTGGCGGGTTTAACGACACACAAATATTTACGCGATCTCACCCCGAAAACAACCCCCTTTAGTTAGGTTAGAGGCCGTCCATAAATGACGTCACGCACCTAGGGGGGGGGGGGGGGGGGGGGGTCAGACATTTGTGACGATGTGTGACGAGGGGGGGGGTGGGTGAGAAATGTGACGACACATCAAAATGCGCAACTTTAAATAAATATAGACGACACGTTCTACTTAATGAAATAGACTTTTTAATGTTTTCTCCTACAACATCAGAGTGCAGCGCCACATTAAATATGCACTACAATGACAATAGTTTAAAGCGATTTGAAGCATGTTTTATTTGGGGGGGAGGGGCGGCAGCGCTTTGTGACGTCATATTTGAGGGAGGGTCTGACTTTCTGTGACGCTGTGTGACGAAGGGGTGGGGTCAAAAATCGTCCAAAATCGCGTGACGTCATTTATGGACGGCCCCTTAGTGGCTCCTATTAAATTCGTTGTCGAGTTTCTTCCGATCAATGTTTTCAAGAAACGTCTGAAGGGCCTCATCTATCTGTTTGGGTCAGGCTTTCGTGCAGCCCTGAGGCTTGGCTCACGCGCCTCGTGAGTTGTCGACTAGTCTGCAACATCTGGCGCGTTATAAACGTCATTACCATCATTGACATTTCGATTTAAAGCTTTCGTGACTGCAGGGATTCATATTCTTGGTTCTTTCGGTAAAGTCACCACGTAGAAAAGGAAATAATGGTTTTCACACCTGATGATGATTGCTTGTGTTGCAATCGAAACGTCGTGAGAATTGTATTGTTGTATTTGTATTATTTTGTATTATTTCCCTTCTACGTGACTTTACCGAAAGTACCAAGAATATCATTGCCATTATCAAACACCGCCGGTTTACCTGTCAACCCCTTATCAGTGCCCTACCTTACTACAGACCAATTCAGACCTTATTAGTTACCCCGTAACCCCTTATAAATCTCAACGTTCATCCTACAAAGTCCTATCACACGGGAGAAACACAAACAAAATAGACACGATTCTAGATTTTAAGTTTTCGTGACTGCAAGGATCTATACTCTTTGGTTTTATTCGGTAAAGTCACGTAGGTAAAAAAATAAAAAAAATAAAAATGATTTAAAGCTTTCGTGACTGCAGTAATTCATATTCTTAGCTCTTTCGGTAAAGTCACGTTGAAGGGAAACAATAAAATAATAAAATATATATAAAACAATAAAAATTCTCACGACGTTTCGACCATAACACAAACGGTCATCATCAGGTGATGTCGCGCCCGAAACGTCGTGATTTAATTTAGTTGTTTTCATTTTTATTTAATAAGTTTTTTTTACCTACGTGATTTTTAAGAGCTAAGAATATGAATTTCACACCTGATGATGCCCGTTTGTGTTATGGTCGAAACGTCGTGAGAATGTTTTATTGTTTTATATATATTTTATTATTTGATTGTTTCCCTTCAACGTGACTTTACCGAAAGAGCTAAGAATATAGCTACCATCTTCTTTGGTTATTTCGGTAAAGTCACGTAGAATGAGAATAAAATAATAAATTAATAAAATAAAATAACACAATAAAATCCTCACGACGTTGATGAAGGCCACTTGTGTTGTGGCCGAAACGTCGTGAGAATTTTATTGTGTTATTTTATTTGATTAATTTATTATTTTATTCTCATTCTACGTGGTGACTTTACCGAAAGAACCAAAGAAGATGAATCCTTGCAGTCACGAAAGCTTTAAATCGAAATGTAGCTACCACTTTGACCGCCGCCGGTTGCTGTTTGCTGTGCGTCCCGGCCCACCCCCCTCCCTCCCTCCCACCCTCCTGCCAACCTGCTTGGCTGAGCTCGTGTTGTGGTTACTCTGTCGCTGTTGTAGCTCCTGCTGCTGCTTTTGTTGTTGTTGAAAGCGGCGGCGGTAGTGGTGGTGGTGGAGGGAGGGAGGGAATCCCAAGTTGCGCGGGAAACCGTTGTACGTGACGTCACGGCAAGCGCGGGGCGGGTGGAAGGGGATATCCCCGGTGGCGCGCGCTGCCCGAGCGCCTCATCGCAGCTGATGAAGCCGCCTGCTCAGCGCGACTCTCGCCACCGCCGCCACCGCCGCCGGGCGCAACGGTAAAGCTTTCCACGTCGAACCTCGTCTTTCTCCGCTCTCCTCACCCTCCTCCTCCTCCCCCCCACACACACACACCGCCCTCTCTCTCTCTCTGTCTCTCGGCAACTCGGTCGCCCTTTGCCGAGTTTCGGCGCGCTCGACGGCTATCGCCCTCACGGCCTCACACGGTTGCCATGTTTACGCATGAGCGTCGCAACGGGCCTAGCTGCGCGGGAAAACCTTACGCTTTTCCTAGGCCGCTTGCCCGGCCGAGGTGCCTCAACCCCCCCAGCCCCGCGCTCCCTTCTCTCCCGCGGTGGGGAGGTTTCGGCGTCTCCAACAGGGGTCGGTCTCAATACGTTGCTCCCACCTCATCAAATATTGAGAATGGTTTCGCTTTTTTGTTTGTTAATTTTCTGGCTGCCGTTGTCTCAAGGTGATTCTGTACCGAGAGGCCCCTTCCCCCCTTTTAACGCCCGCCAAGGAGATGGAGCGATTTAATAAGCTCGCGCGGATTGACAATGTGGCTGTTGCTGATGGTGATATAATAATTCTATAAGGTTTGGGTCGATTTTGAGAAACGGCGCGGACTGTGTTAATGGCTTTTAATTAACCGTGTACTGTATAAATACATCACATCGACTGTTAAAGACAACGTAACTGGGAGTGCCCGTCTTGATTTGACTGATTTAAAATTAACGAGTCAAGCATCCCAATGCAGGACTGTCTTGAATCCATCCTGCTTAAATACATAGGACGTTGGGATCACAGTAAAACGTCGCATATCTGACTTGAGTATAGGCGTATAATATGTGAAAATACATTACACGTTAGGCAATTATAGCTTCGCCGTGTACAAATGCTGCGCTGGTGTGGTCGATTAATTGATCAGGGCAAGTATGTGACGGGTCGGATTTGTAACGTACCGCATGCAATTCCTCGTGTTAAGCTGCCAATAGTCACGCGCGTTTTGAAGTGTCGGTAAATCGGTGGCTGCCCTAGTAACGCAGAGCTGTGCGCCTGTTGTTAATGAACCCACTTCATTGCTCGCAGAGTAAACAAATGGTTGGTTTCGCATAGTTTTCCGTAGACAGCGCCTCCCCAGCAACTGAAGGCTACGGCAAAACGCAATCAAATCGCCCCGAACTGGACAATTGTGAAAAAGTATAAATACATATTTTTATTCTGAACTGTTTTGTCCACACGTGAGCGAGTAATATGCGAAACAAGGTCCCCCAAGTTTAGAAGTGTGTTAAGGCTTTTTTTCTCGTCATTGTTGTGGCTGACTTTTGGTGCTGTCAGTTATTTGAAACAATAGATTTGTTCATCACCAATGGCCTTGAAATGCTTTTTGCTATTGTTGTCGTTGTGAAGTTACCACCTCTTTTCCATATTAAACAGCATTTCATGATTGTAACGACAAATCGTGTATTCACACACGTGCACGGATAATAGTCATAGGTATTATGGTAACGGATCAGATGAGTTATCCTGTAATATGTAACTCTTCTGAAAGCATCTCCATGCTGTGTTAGTTGTGGGGTTTATTTATTCCGACATCACCACACTGGTCAATGCAGTTTGGTAAAGGTGGACTGGGGATAGGACCGATTCAGATATCACTTGCCGGTGACGTTAGCCATGGTCGGGAATGGAACTCAGGTTGCTAGCTTAATAGCGCAGTCCACAAACCAATGCGCCGCTGTTCCACCCGACATAAACAATGCAGAACAGTGTTAAAGATCGTGAGCACACCACGAATAAACCTCAGTAAATTAAACTTGTGAACTATGTTAATCAAACAATACCATGTTAATTACTTGATTGGCATGCTTAAACTAACATGTCTAATTTATGAAACCCTCTATGTACAGTATCGATTGCATTGGGTGTTTCGGAGAGATGATTTCTAGTGTATTAATAATTACTCATGCCTGTGTGTGTGTGTGCAGGGGTGGATGAAAAATGTTCAGCGTTTTTGCTAACTGCTGCAGCTGGGTTAAGTGGAAACGCAAGCCTATGAGGTAATGTACACCAGCGCTGGATATATTGTATACCTCCAGCACTGTATGCACGTTTTGCTCCGCTTGACTATCATGTAACTGTGGATGCCTGTACACTGTTCACCCCCCATACGTCCATGCACTCTACCACTCATTAGTGCCTGCCGAAGAGGTATATTTATAAAGATATTTAAAATATATAGTATTGGCTCATCCACTTATTGTGATGTGGATAACATACGCCGAAATTGGTCCGTAACTTCATTTCACAAGGCCTGCGGCTACGGGAATTCTACTACTTCGAAACGGCCCACAAATTATATTTATTTATCACTGCAAGCATATTAGCTGCACTAATTGGGTAATAGAAGGACATATTTTCTACATGGCAACATTGTGTTTTAGGGTTAGTGTGTTCAGTCACATCTGTCACTCTAATGGCTTCTTGAAGAGCCAAAACAGACTGGCAGTGACACACTCTGGATAACTGATGCCGGTCATAACCTTCTCAAACCACAGCTGTGTTGGAATTTTTGGAATGCCAACTGGCCTGGCTACGAAAAATAAACTTAAGCCCATTTAAAAAACCTACAGCCAAAGCCTAAAAACTTGAAATATTGCCGTCTGCCACAAAAACAATATCCAGACGGGGATATTAGAAAAGCTACACGTGATGTTGCAATCATAAATACAACTATTGAATGAGTTCATCAGAACTCTGCACGAAGAAAACATTGGGAAGATGTCACTGCAGATTTGGATTTCAATCACTCCAGCCCTAAAGCCTGGCAGCGCCATGAGAACCTAGGTGCCCTCAAAGCCAACAGAATACAGACCGCCAAAAACTACAAAAGAACACTGTGGCTTCCCACATGTTGTCCTGCTCAAAGACCCCAATGGACAAGTTCATGAAACAAGCTCTCCGGAAACGACTCGCCATCACCTTAGGCCAACTACCGCAAGCATTAAATATAACAGCCCACAGGGCCAGACAATCCAGTAAGGCACCAGGATATACATGTAAATGGCTGGTGACCTGAGTTCTTAAAAACAATCTGGAACTTTATAGACAACAGTGGCTTGCAAACTTCTTCACCGTCATGCACAGGACAGGCAGTACCCCAAAGACATTAAAGCAAGCCAAAGTCTTGGCCATTCTCTCTACAGCTACTTGCCAATATCCTTCTTGTACTCTACCTCTAGACTTTTGGGACATGCCATAGTTGCCAGACTTTTCCTAATAGTTACTGCGAACAGATCATTGCCTTCACAACCCACAGCATCAACAGAAAACCGAGACAACAATGATTTTGACCTCTGCTGCCTATGACACCATTCGGGGTTATGGCCTGCTGCTGAAGATGGCCAAAAGCACTGCATGGAATTCCACTGTACACTGAATCGACACACTCTTTAGCAACTGAACCTTCAGGGTAAACTTTGCTGGTAAACACAGCCTTAAGGGAATGATTAAAATGCCCCCCTCAAGGCTTGGTACTACCATCGTCACTATTTAACATATATATGTGACCTGCCATGTACATTATCTCGCAAGTTCATATATGCAGATGACATAGCCCTTGCTGCACAGGGCATAACTTTGATAATATTGCCAGAATGAACACCTCGTTCAAGATCCAAACATCATACCTTTTGGCTTTGATATTCCTCGAAGACACTGGTATACCATCAACCAAAACAGAACATCAACCGGCCGATGCGCTCATCTCCATTAATGGGAAATTAACGACAAGCCACAATGCAACTGTGGTCAAGCAAACCAAACGATGGACCTTATAGTAAACCACTGTGGTCTGCGCTCCTTCAATGGAGGAGTAGCAAAACTACATGAACTCTCTCCTGAAGCCGTCTCATGGTTAACAGATCATGACATTGGGATTTAGCTCCTGAATATTGCCATACGCTTCAACAAAACAGTGGCAGAAGTAACTGAGGTGTGTGCATTAATGATGTGTTGATGAAAGGAGACGGTTCCCAACCTTGGCAAAAACCTATAATGCTTAAGCTGCTTTTGTTTGTGCTTCATAGTGCTGCAAGCGCTCTAAACTGTTGGTATCTAACCTCTCGTGCAGGGATGTAACCTTGGTCATGCTTGGATTGGACAATGCTGGGAAAACCGCTGCTGTCAAGGGGCTACAAGGAGGTATAATTTAAGAGCATTCAGCCACAGTTACCCATTTTCCAATTTGAACATCAACTCATGAACAGAGAGTCAGTTTAATACGAGCTGTGTACTGCCTTTGCTGGCATTGACAACCAGTACACAAACAGTACAACAAAGCAGTGCTTAGAGACAATGGGCACTGTTTCCACGAGAGGGCGCTGTTTTTATTTACATCGTTGCTGAGCATAGGCCCAAAGCCTAAACCTCTAACGGTCAGCAACAGACAGCACTTTTAGAATTGTAACAGATAAAGAGTTAACACGTGTCTTGCATTGATCAAGGTTATGAGAGCTTGCGAAGAAAGATAATTGGAGGGAATTCCCAACTTTAGCAAAGGAAAGAAGCAGGAAGTGTGTTGGCCTGAAGGCTCTTGGTTGAACAGTATGTTTTTAGAAACTGTCATAATCCACATTCCTTGTCACAGCTGGGTAGTTGAGTGCCTTATGAATTAATAATTTACTGCTTCTTTAAAATGTTGAGTCCAAGAAAACAACGGGTTTTTTTTTCCACGGAAATAAATGCTCAAAAATAGTACCACTGTTTTAGAGATTTGATAAAGAAGATGTTATTTGAATTCAGGACTTTCTATATATATTTTTCCCCTTTGTCTTTCGACATTTATAATTCCCTCTTTTATCGCTACTGTGTCTCATTCGCAAATTAGACTTGTCTTAATGGGCTATCACTTGCTCATAAATATAGTTATTGTATATATAGTGTCTGAGCTAAATGTGAGCTTTAAAACGCAAAGGTTAAATTACCAATGGTTAATGTGAAAGGTTGCATTTGACTAAATCACCCAGAATGTACCTGATCTCAGAAGCTAAGCAGCTTGTGAGCCTGGATATTGCTTGGATGGACATCCACGGTGTGCAAACTAGGTTGTGGGCAACAGGGCACTGCAGCAAAATACATTGCAACTTTTTGCACCCACATTTATGCCCCCTGCTTTCACCAATGCACACTTATGAGCGTGGTGAAGCATGCTCAAATAACCCCCACGGTCTGCATGGCGTGGGGAAGCCCTCATCCAGCAGTGGATTGACAAAGGGCTTTACACACACCTACACATGTGTGTGGCTCTTCTCAGTGAACTTAAAAATAAAGTTTTTTTATTACGGTTGCAAAGCACTGGTTCAAAATACCCAGCAGCCAGCAACAAGCAGCACTTTAAAATTGTAATAACAAGAGGTGATACATTTCTTGAATTGATGGACTGGTTAATTACCAATTTATTACCAATGGGTAAGCTGAAAGGTTATTTGGGAAAATGTTTTCTTTTGTTATTTGATTAAAAAACATAAGATGTAAATTCTCACATCCAGAGGACCTCAAGGACATCACCCCTACAGTGGGCTTCTCCAAGGCGGAGATGCGCTTCGGCCGCTTTGATGTTACGGTGTTCGACCTGGGCGGAGGGAAGCCCATCCGGGGCATCTGGCACAACTACTTGGCAGAGGCTCACGGCGTGGTGTTCGCAGTCGACTCAAGCGATACCGAGCGGCTGCAGGAGGCGCACGAGACGCTGTCTGCAGTGCTGGTCGACCCGCGCGTCGCCGGCAAGCCCCTGCTAGTGTGAGTGTTCGCACGCATGCACGCACTCGCCATACATCTCTCCACGTCACACTAAACTATACATCTTTTTTATTTTACCAGGAAAGGCCCACTAAGCTATATAGTTCTTTCTGAGAAGCGACCTGGCCACAAATGATAGCTCAACAAAGCGGCTTATCACGTGGAAATTTATAGCAGCCAAATACTCTAAACACTTGTTTATTCTAAATGTGAAGGGAAAAAACTAGAGGACCCGGAGAAAAATCCACGTGACCACAGGGAGAACATGCAAACTCCACATATACAGGTGTCAGGGTCGGGATCGCCTCCACGACCTGCATACCAGGCAAGATAGTTATCATCGTATCACCGTGGTGCCCCTGTACTGACACCAGGGTAATTTTTGGGTGGCGTACTTCAGTGCTAGCTTGCAAAGCCACTGTCGCACTACCTTGCTTTCTCAATGTTTCCATTAATCGTTCCAGTTTTTATTGGAATGGTCGTCATGGTCAATCCACTGCTGGATGCAGGCCTCCCAAAGCTGCTGCTGTGATCGCTCAGTCTCGCGATAATTATTTGCGTTTTGTTCCTGATTATGCTGTCTATCAATTCACGAGATGGAAATGTAAATTCGGAACTCTCGCAGAGTTATAGAGAATGGCCCACAGAAGACAATGCAACAGAGCTACCTCTGGTGGACAAAGTAAGGGCAGCACCTTTCTGCCCACTCTGCTACTAAGAATAATGGTTACCACGTGGCTGTCAAACTGATATTTTCACAATCCAGGCAGTACGAGTGAGATGAAAAATAATTGCTCATTGAATTCTGACACCGAATTGTGACAATTCATTAACTTACAGGCAGGATGATCATTGTATGCCGAATAATGATTATGTCTGTAGGCAAGAACATTCTACTGGTAGGAACCTCCTGGTTACACCAGCCCACAGGGGATTATTGTGTCCGTCCGTCGTGCATCCAAAAATGGGAGGGGTGGGGCTGGGTGGAGAGGGGAGGGTGGGGAGGGGCTGGGTGGGGAGGGAGGGGCTGGGTGGGGCTGGGTGGGGACGGAGGGGCTGGGTGGGGAGGGTGGGGCTGGGTGGGGAGGGTGGGGCTGGGTGGGGAGGGTGGGGCTGGGTGGGGAGGGTGGGGAGGGTGGGGCTGGGTGGGGAGGGTGGGGCTGGGTGGGGAGGGTGGGGCTGGGTGGGGAGGGTGGGGCTGGGTGGGGAGGGTGGGGCTTGGTGGGGAGGGTGGGGCTGGGTGGGGAGGGAGGGGCTGGGTGGGGAGGGTGGGGCTGGGTGGGGAGGGTGGGGCTGGGTGGGGAGGGTGGGGCTGGGTGGGGAGGGTGGGGCTGGGTGGGGAGGGTGGGGCTGGGTGGGGAGGGTGGGGCTGGGTGGGGAGGGTGGGGCTGGGTGGGGAGGGTGGGGCTGGGTGGGGAGGGTGGGGCTGGGTGGGGAGGGTGGGGCTGGGTGGGGGATGGGAGGGGTGGGGCTGGGTGAGGAGGGGCTGGTCACCCCGTGGTGCCTTTATAAAACTCAACGTTTAACCTACTCACGCCGGCTTGTGCCCGCGGCATATTTGCGGAATACACCACGCCGCCGTTGACCCTGGCCATTGACCGAGCAACCCAACGTTCCTACCAGCTCCCTCCGCAGGAATGTGTTGTGTCTAAGTTGTAATATGCATAATACAGGTAGTTTGTGAGCCCAATAGGTGTTTGAGGGACCCCATAAACACTGGCAGAGTAGAGTGGTGAACTTTAGGGTTAAGGTGTTGGAGACAGGAATAATTATGTATTAATGTATTGCGAACATATCCAGATTTAAGAAAACAGCTATAGAGACACATTTGACCTTTGACTGCAGGCACATGCAGAGGATGCTAGGAATTGGAGTAATGTTTTGAATGTGAACACAACTTAGCAAAAAAAACAATTGTAGATGTCATTGTGAAGAGAAAGTTGTGATGAGTCAAGATACAGAGGATGACAAGCTACAGAGGCATGCATTGAAGTGGTTCGCGACCAAAGAAAACCTCAAGTTAAATGATGTTAGTGATGGCTTTAGGGCTTCTTCATCCAGCAGTAGATTGATCATGGCTGATGGATGATGACCATGAGTATAGAAGTAGTGTATTTAGCCAGAGCAAACATCGCTGTGGATATATAAGGTCCACATTATTGTCAGTGGGGAGATATTCATGAGCTTATTTGCATGTGCAGCATCATCATTGCCAAGAAGTTGATGAGAGATCTCTTTTTCTGCCAGTACTTCACGTGAAGTAATCCAAAGCTTGTTTTGTGAGATTGGCAGGCAAGTGAAGGCTGACAAGAACATTTCCTCACATTTCTTTCAGACTTTGTCATTCTATTTAAACACATTTCTGTAGTTAAAATGATGATTACGAACTCGGCGTGCAAGCTGAGCCAGTCTGACTGGGTAATTTAAATGTTATCTTCTGGAACAATGATCCATGATGAACCCTGCCAGGCCTGTATATTTTTGCCATTTAATCTTAACCATTGATCATTACACTGCTGGATGAAAGCCTCACGACATCTTCCGATCATGTCGGTTGTTTGAGCATACTTCACGCTGGTCAGTGCAGTTTGGATAAAGGGTGGCTCACAAATGATGAATATATCACTCGTCACCAATGGAGTCGAACAGAGGTCGCCGGGGTTCAGAGTGCAAAGTTAGCATTTGAGCTTAAAAAGGGACAAAAGTTGGAATGTATTCCTTCTTTACAACTTTATTCACACGATCGTAATATAGAAAAATACGTTTACATATACTGTTAGCATGCTATATACATACAATGGTATTTAAATGCAGCAAGGAATGCAGTACGAAAATGGAGTTTCCCCACTGGTAATGACACATTGCTATTTTAATTCGCATAAACGGTACGGTGCAGTGCGTTTTCTGAAGCCAAATGTGAGCAGCAGCACGGGATTAAACAAGTTGAATAGGTTGCACTAGTAATGCTCTCTACACTAAAGAACGTTTTGGGGGGAAAAAAACTCTCAAAGTAGAATCCAACTTCAAGTTGCTAGCTTACTTTTGCGTGGTGATGCACAGGTGGGGTTAGTTAAACGTGTGAAGAAAAACAAGATAGCATTGTGCCCATTTCGTTCGTGTGAATTATTTTATTTTGCATAGGCTGAACAAAATTATTGCCAGTGAATGGTATTGCATTTGTATTTACATGTATAAGTTGAAAGAGTTGTCAATTATTTTAAAAGAAATTAACTTACGGTAATAACAAGAAAGCGTACAAAATACAGTGATGGTAAAAATAAATATGCCAAGAACTGACAGCCTGTTTGGGAGCCAGCAAAACCAATTAACACATGCCTTTATTTGTAAATCCCTTATCAGAAGCTTAACAGTGTGAGATCTTCACTGTTGGTGGACTCACTCAAGTTGCTTAAGCATGTGATGCCACATTATTATGAACCTTAAGCAAGTGATGCTACATTATTATGACTCTTATGCAAGTGATGCCAAGATAATAAGCAAGTGATTATGAACCTTTCCAATGTTAAAGAACCAGGATATGATGGGCAGTGGGCCTAACTAAAAGTTGGCAAATCTCTCTGAATATTTGTTTGAATCAATTAGTTTAAATGCAGTGTGCATCTGCTGTTGGTGTGATAAGCCAGCAGAGTTGAGCTCAGAAGGAGTTAATCCAAGTGGACAGGAATTATTTAACATTGCAGTTCTTAATTTAAACCTTTATTACAACTCATCTAATGATAGTACAAGGAACATCTTCCTAGCATCTTTAATAAGGCTATATTAAACAACACAAAGCATACATGTGAAATGAACACTGAAGAATTGAAGCTTCCAGTAAGGCTTAGCCAGTCTGCATTTGATATTTTTTTGTTTTTAGCATTTCATTAAAAAATATATACATATATAATGCTGGATTTTACAAACATTCAACTGTTAATGTGGATTCAGTTTGACTGCATAGAAATTCCTAGAATTGCACAGCTACCTCATCCTTTTTGTTGACAGTCAAGTTGACCTGACAATAATTACTCTGCACGACAAACACACTTTATCTTGAAAACATTTACGGCGACAACTGCATCTCGCGACAGTCGTAGCCTACTGCCAAAGAGGAAATAATTGAAGTGGCCCTGCAGCGAAGCAGGCATCCAAATTCCCACCAGTGCATGAAGAATGCATGCAGTAATTAAGCATGCATGTTTCTGCCTCAGACAAACATGCACTCAGGGGGGTAAAACTGAGTTAACAATTAAACATATTAATTAGCACGCAGACTCCTGCAGACAATCGTGATCCGAGCGGTGGTCTTCTGGGTTAGGCCACGCATTGAGATTTTTATTATTTTGAGATTTTGCCGCACTGCTGCGGGGCACCTTCAGGAGTTGAACTTCAACAAATCCTGAATATGCCCCAGAGGTAGTGCATGGTGACGCTTGCAGAGAAGAAATACTCAACATGTGGAATAACCTGGAGTAACATATTCCGTGGAAACCAGCCGGCGAACTCTTAATAGAAAAAAAGCTTTCGCTGGGCCGGGAGGGTTGTAAGTCAGCACGTGGGAGACAGGCAGAATTCGCAGCAGACAATGTCAGCGGAAGGTTGGGGGGCGTGATCCGATCTTCCGCGGGGTCAGCTAAAAGCGTAGATAACGTAGCGGAGGAGGGCAGGTGTTAACTGTAGCAGCAGCAACAGCAGCAGCGCAACAGTTTCCGGAACGGGTTCCGGTTCTGGTACTTGATGGCCTTCTGGAAAGTCTCATTGGCCTGCGCAATGTAGTCCTGCGTGTTGGTCACCGTGTTCTCGATGTTGTTGACCATCTCGCCCTGCTCTTCCACCAGCAGTGCCATCTAAGGGTGAGTGGGAATGTGGGGGGCAAACAAACTAAGAGTTACTTGGCTGATGAGACTATGCAAATCGAAACCGGTAAAGGAATTTCAGCTTAAGCAAATGCTAGCGGGATAGGAGAATGATGAACTAAACGCTAATCGTATTTCTATGTTGTGAGGTATAGTGTTGTCCACTTATTTATTAAGTTAATTTCTTAATTATTTTATTTCAAGACATTGAATCAATTACTACCTGCAGATCATAATTCTGCACCTCGGATTAGTACGGTTAGCTACGGCCGGTGTGAAAGAAGTTCAACATACATACATGCATTACTGTTTATGTATACTCCTTGATGAATTGACTTATCTACCCATTGTTCATCTGATGTCATTTAAAATACAGTTAGGATTATTATGCATCGAGATTCAATTGTTTCTGGACTCAATAATGAATATATCCACCTGAAAATTGGAAGCAATGCCGCTAATAATTTACCATCCACCTTAGCTCTTAGCCCCGGCAGTAAGAAAGAAGTAGACACAAAAAAAATCGGAGGTGTGAGAGGACCTGGCCCTTTTGGGAGGCACAGGCCACACTTTTAAAGTTATTTAATGGGACCTAAAGGAGATAACACAAAGGACACCTGTATTAGCTCACATTGGGCACTGCCAGAGGTTGTGTAATGGGTACTTCGATCAGGTAACTATTACTATTTTTATTTTACTGGGTAAGGCCCACTGAACTATAAAGCTTATTTTCAGAAGCAACCTGGCTATCACAAATGACAACTAAACGAAGTGGGCTTATCGCGTGGATATTTATAGCGGCCAAATACTCTAAACGCTTGTCAATTCTGAATGGGGAGGGAAAAAGCGGAGGATCCTGAGAACAATCCACGTGACCACAGGGAGAACATGCAAACTCCAAATATACAGGCGTCAGGGTTGGGATCGAACCCACGACCTATCGTATACCAGGCGGCAACCCATTTTAGACACCTGCATTTTAGACGCCTAACACACGAGGTCACACACACACTGGAAGCCCGTAAGAGGGTCGTGCGCCACACACCTGCAAGAAGAGATCATGGACTTCACGCAGCCGCTGCTCCAGCTTGAGTAGCTCCTGGTGGCGCTGCTCGATCTCGTTGAGGGCTGCCTTGGCGGAGCGCGTCTCCCCAAGGATGCCCATGGCGAACACCTCCCAGTTGCCCTGCTCGATGCGTTCTTCCAGTTCGGCGTCCGACGCCGGCTGCGAGCCCAGGATCTCCAGCTGCCGGGCGATGCGCCGCTTGCAGTTTTCCCGCTGCGCTATTTCTGCTGCATTGTATTCCAGCATCACCTGCAGGGCGTGGGGTTGTGACATTTTTTTTGTTATTTATTTTTTCTCGCCGTTACATTCCTACTGGGGACGCGGCACGCTGTGCTGAAACCACCAGTCAACTTTCGCCTCGTGGGAGGTTTTTTTCTTTCTACTTTGCTGTGCCCTATCGTGTGAAATTCCCTCCCCCTTCAATACACGCTCTTTTCCTCTGTCTATAAATGTCTCTACTCCCAAAAAATTCCATGATGGGGAAAAAAAGATTGATTCTCGACGATGGCTAACATCAGTCGAGAGTACACTGGTCCTGACCACCCCACTTCTTCACCAACCCGCACCGACCTGCATAGTGAATTATGGTCAGACAACACCAATCACGAAAATTTGTATGGGGGGGGAGACTTTAATCTAGCAGTAAATTGACAGTAGTTAATAGTTATTCCTATTGTCATTCACGCTCTCCAGCTAAGCGTGAAGGCATCTGTGCGTATGCTCCGTCCGCCTGTCTGTCACAGGGAGGCACGAAAACTCTCATAAATATGACTCCCGTCCACATGCGTGTTTTTTTTTTCCACCTCGTTTATATTCCACTTGTGCTATCGTCGCAGCCGTGGCATGCAAGAAATAAATTCTCCATTGGCAAATGCTCGCAGCTAGATCACCAACATGCTCAAAGAATAGCCACAGAACTACTGCTGCGGTAGGCCCTCTGTCCACTGGAGAAATATACCTGTTATATGCGCTGCAGAGTGTATTTTTTTCACGTCAATCAAACCACAGGTCTATTCTTAGTTGAAATTATTCTAATTAAGTTAAAAAAAGCAATAGAGCATCGTGTTTTATCACAGCAATTGTTGGCCAGGCTGAAAGTCAACTCGCTGTATTTTGAAAATTCGGTTTAACTATGGGTGTCTGAAACCCGGATTCTTAACACAGAATCTCAGTGTCGCTTGCTCAGTTATCTGACAGGACTGACTCTGAGCTACCCTTCCCGCTCATGTACAATAAGGGCTTAACATTTCACCGAATATATTTTGGGTCGCCATTTGACTTTAGTAGGTGCCACGTGACGAGTGATAACCAAAGCCATAGGTGAGAAGCATACATGGAATAAGGTGTTGTCGGGTGTGGAAATGTTTTCCGGGTCATTGACCCGGACAGACCCAGCTAAAATTAATCCCTGGGTATGACGTTCACACGCGGAGACCCCTGCTTGTTGATCTCATGGTCAGGGAGCGGCTGGCTTCTGTGTAGTTCATCACAACTTCAAACGCACGGTGTCCAAACACGTTTTTCATTTAGACATATTTGCTCAGTTGACGTCATGCATGACCACACCTTCCCCTTTTAGGTGCTCAGTGCTAAGGCCACTTTGAATGGACTGCGCTAGGGTTTTAGGGCGATCAGATCAAACTGTCACAGCAAGTTTAGCAAGTATGAGATACCTGGCAGCCACACCTAAATTGGCAACGCCTTTACTATGCCTAACAGGGCAAGTAAGCAGATTTTCAAAGACTTTACTATATTTTGAAGCTCCTTTCAGATACTCTATGGTTCTTTCGGTAAAGTCACGTAGGTATAAAATTAAATCACGACGTTTCGATTGTAACATAAGCAATCATCTTCAGGTGGGTTCTTGTGTTGCAATCGAAACGTCGTGATTTAATTGTATTTTCTACCTACGTCACTTTACCGAAAGAACCAGAGAGTATGGATTCCTGCAGTCACGAAAGCTTCAAATCTAGACTCTTTTCAGATGTAATGAATTCCACTGTGTTGAGCCAAGTTCATGACATAACAGCTGTTGGATTTATGGTTCACTATTTTTTGTCAAATAATTGACATTCATTGATTAAAATTTGTTTGAAAAAACTGATAGGATGAATAAACATTTATACACCCTTGAAACATATGTATCCTACTTGTGTACAAAATTTAAAAAGTCCATTATACTTGGCCAATCTAGATTTAAAAGTGCATAGCTCCCGTGGCTTCCTCATATCGTAAGGAAGAGCGTTCCAGACAGCCAAAGAAGCTCATCTGAGGGCGCGTGGTGCGGTGACCACCGTCTTTGTTCCATGGCTAATGAAAAGCCGCCGCTGTTGCGAGGATGACCGGAGTTGGCGTGACGGTTTATGCTCCTTGACGGAATCAGCAAGATCCTCAAGTGAATTCCAGCGAGCTACCGCAAAGCGAACACACGAGGCGCTTCCTTTTTTGACGCGGGGTTGGGGTGGGGGGGTGCGCATCGGCGCGGGTGGCTGCCGCATCCATCTACTTACTGGACGAGTGTGAAATACAGACCACCTGTTGAAAAAAAAAAAGTTTCATAAGCTTATCAGATTCCTGCAGCGCTTGCCTGGTGGAAGCGCTGGGTGAGGGCATTGACGTGCGCGCGGATGATGCGCGCCGCCGCTGACTGTGCCCCTTGCCGCGCCTCTAGCTGCTCGCAGCTGGCAGTCAGCAGCTGCAGACGCTTGTGCAGCCGCTCGGCGCGTAGGCGCACATCGCGCGCCACCGCGTTGGCGTCGCGCTTGATGCTGCTGAGGCGCCGCATGGAGGTGAGGAAGCGCGCGTTCTGCTTGCCCATGCGCCGCACGTCCGACTGGAGGCGCTCGATTTCATCCTGGATCGCCTCGGTTTCCTGGAGCCGCCACGACGGGGACAGTGTTAGGTTCGAGAGCAAGGACAGGACACTTCCCTTACCGGGTGCCGGATACCAAATTCTCCGGTTTACAAGACGCTTTTTTGTTCCAGTGGCCGTTCCTGTATTTCTCAACTTTGCATGTTATACCCTTTGTTTCCCGCTTTCCCAGGACTTCGTGTATACTAGAAATGTTTTGTTATTTTCAAAATGACACCCAAGTTTGGGGTGTGTCTTGCTTTCCAGAGTGTCTTAAAATCCGAAGAACACGGCAAGAGTTTCAAATGCAATTCGGCCAGGCCACACATTAGCAGACACACCTCGACCACTATCTGCCACTGCAAGAGTCCGGTGCAGTCGCACACGTGACTAGGCATGCTGAAATTAGAAACAGTGTTGTTTACCAGGTCAAAAAAGTCTCCTCTAGTACCCGATTAGTGTGCCTTAGATGTTTGAAATGACAGGTAAATGTCGTTTGCGGGTCGTTTTCAAGTGCTAGGGCTCATTTTCCCATGGGCTGGATGAAATTAAGACGTGCGCCTCGCCCAGCCTGTGGGCTTTAGGTTCGCCACTGCTGTTTTAGAGGACCTGATAAAATGCTCAGTGGCGGCATAGTGTGTGCCATCATAGTCATAGCGTGTCCACAGCCAAACAAGCATTGGGTGGCAAGTATGGTGGCCTTGAGCCTGTTGTGGAAACACAGAAATGTGTTTCAGTTTGAGCTCGGTCTCACCATAAAATAACCAATATTGACTTTTGACAAAGTGGTGCTTATTTTATCAGCTCCCGGAGGGATAATTTGGCTGAGTTGACACCAAATTTGCCTTTTAAACCACAGCCTTATTATTGTGTCACGCACTACATGCCACAGTACACGTGGCTGGATCTATGATTTCACTCGTGCAGAATGTCCAGCCGTAACTATATATTTATGTTAATTTACTCTTTCATCCTATTTTAAAAACATGCCTGTCTTTTTTTGCAGAACAAAGCTACATTCCACTATTGTAAACTGGAAATGCCACTTGACTGTCTGATCAAAGACCAACTTCACTGGAATATTTGTATCTTCTCCCAGTATTGAATGCACTCACTTTCCTTTAGTTTATTTTCATTATCTGCCAGCGTGCAACATTAATTTCGTCTCGATTATTTTCCGTCATCCTTCTGTCGCATGGCTGATGTCGATGCAGAGCAACAACTACAATTTCACAATCGGGTGGTCAAGCTAGATTTCCGTTCATTGCCGAGCAGTAGCTACATTTTTGGTACAAACGCCAGTTATGAGAAAGTTTGTTTGCGCGATCATCGAAATGGCTGTAACCTTCAAAGCTCGTTGTGACCCAACGCTTGAAAACCTGGATTAATCGTGGGTGGTTTGCTCATTCACACCCGAGATCCGAGTAGTGTTGGCGTGGTGCTGTGACAGGATTAGCATCCGGGCCACCCAGCCACCTCACAACCCCTGTTGTATTGAGTGCCTCACCTCGTGCAGGGATGGGATGGGGGATTCATGCTCAAAGATGACGGATTCCTGCCTGCTGTCGACTTCGTCATCCACGACCGATTTACCATCTTCGGTCTTGTGCGATATTGTAATAAGCTCTTGCAATCTGTCTTTCATCCTGTTGCTTTAAGCACAGCCGCTTGCCTGCCCTGCCTCCCAGATCAGTCCAGGGGTCTGTTTGGGGGGGGGGGTGAGGGAGGAAGCAAAATATTATATTTTAAATTCTCATTCATGATCTTCATTATTTCAAGACCAAGATGTCATCATGGCCAAACCCATTGATGGCACCGCCACACACTTCGCTTTCTACCTTCTGCCAGATCCGACAGCTGCTGCACAGTTGACAAGGGACCTCCAAAATCCACCCCAACTGTGTCTCACCATCTCTTCTTAGCTCTTCCCCTTGATTGCAAGGCTGATGGAGACCTTTCTAATGCCCATCTATGTAACTGGCCCTCTCCCATCCCGCACACGTGTCCCGCCCAGGAATTACACGGGGAGATAGACATGGGAACATAAGGGTCAGAAAACAAATTAAAAAATATACATATTTTAACGTATGTGGGCAGGACAAGTCGCAAGAAGGATTATGGCAGGCGGTTGAGACTGATAACGGAATAGCAGTCAAAGGAGAAAATATGCCGAGAGGAAGTTTACTACAGAGGAGTGCTGAGCTCAGGTTGTGTGCAGGAGCGAGACGGATCGTTGCATCACAAGACCATGGGAGATGGTGACAGCGTGAAGAGGCTTTCATCGAGCAGTGAATAGATCATAGCTGCTGCTGATGATGATAGCAACAAGTATAGTACTTGAGGGTTATATCTTTATAATTGCGTCTAGTATTTATTATGTATTGGCCAAATGTACCAATGCAGGACCCTCGTGAAAGTGTTTTGAGACTCGGTTGAGCTTTCTTGGATCAATCCATTGCAGTACAATTACTTATTACATCTTCAGCTGGGGGTTAGCTCATGCTTAGCAACTATCAAAGCAACCTTGAGCAAAATTCAACCTGTTTGTAAAACACACGGTACCCTGGGTACAAGCTCTCAAAATAGCTTTGCAGTTATGACTAAAGGTTTTGTCCTTCAGTTTTATTGACTGCGGTCGATGTTTAGGCCGAGCCGTTTATTAAACTTGTCATTTGGTGGAGTGTACGAATTACTGTAACTACCAGCATTGTGCTTTTCATTATTGCCCTATTCTGGCACATTTTGTTTGTTGTGGTGATCAGCCGACCTGTGTAACCAGGTGCATGCCCATCGCTAACTGTCTTGACGGGAGCGGTGGCGTAGCGGTTAGTGCACTGCGTTGGGAACCCGGGGACCCGAGTTCCATTCTGGATCACGGCCAACACTAGTGGCGTTTATCTGAACCAGTCCTGGGCCTCCCCTAAGGTCCACTCAGCCTCAAAATTAGTACCTGGTGTGGTTTCTAATAACATCGCCACTTGGGAAACAAAGGCGGTCGGACGTGGTGCTGGCCACCCACCCCGTCGTGTGCCGTTTCGGCTTTCATAGTTGCTCGCTAACAGCACTTGCCCCAAAAGTCTATTAAGGTTATACGAGGATCTTTTTCATTGCATAGTTTTCAGCATTTGATCCAATTTCTTTGTCATTGTCCATTTTGCAATCCATGTCATAGCAGGTTACACATATATATGTACACATCTTGAAGATGAGCGTTTCGCTGGAGATTACAGGCCCTAATACTAATAGCAACATCTTTATACTAAAGTTAGGATCATATTGTATCATAATTAGTTCAGTTATCATGCACCCCCCCCCCCCCCCCATTTTGCGTGGATTGACAGACAGAGCTCTCCTCTTAAGGTATATTTCCCACGCAAGTACAATATTTATTCCGTGAGTAAAACGTTTAAAAATACAGGAGCACTCTCGTGAGGCACTGCGGTGTTACTCGCTCGGTTTTAAGAGGGATGTAACTGATTAATATCGGTTGTTAAGGTCAAGATTCTAGGCAGTCAGGAGACTGCACGTTCAGAAATGAATTACTGGAATCTATCTGTACAGAGATTTGTTTCGTCTTTGTATGCATTCACGGGGGTTCGCTCACAGGGAACTTCACCAGCATGGTTAGCCAGCAGACGGCGGGCATGTGACTGTGCACATCGGAACACACCGAACCTAGTTTGGGTCAGGCTCGTTCGGCGTGGTTTGGTTTCAACAGGGAGGCACTGACAGCTGAGGTTCAAGTGAGCGGGCGTGAACTGAAGTGCACCGCCGTCACCATGTCTCGTGCTTTTGTTTCCACGTGCTTATTAATGTATGACTACTGCCAGATGTCACCCGTTTCATTGGGTATGGCCAAGTAGCAGTTATTTTTGTTGTGGTCGGGGGGAGGGACTGAGTTATGGGGGACAGAGTTAAGGCCTCTATCACAACATATATATCTTCATCAACTGCCAATATCAGTCTGCTGCTGGATGAAGGCCTCTCCAAGTTGCTGCCATCCTTCATTGAAAATAAGTGAAAGAATGTGATGCAGATCTCTGGCAAAACAAAAAAACACGTTGCCCAGGAATTAGACTGTCTCCCAGATGAAGAGAAATATGTAACACTTGAAGACGTAAACTCTTTGCACGAAGAAAAATGGGAAAACTAAGTGCTGATGGTAATGTCATTTGTTTCCACAGGAAAGCCTCACTGAGTCACTCTTTTTCAAGAGTGTCCTGTATCGCAATGTTTGGCCGATTGCATTACCGATTGTTTGGCATTTGGGAGGAAACCGGAGTGCCCGGAGAAACCTCCATGCATACGATGACATAAAACACTCATCTCTGCATGAATAGATTCAGTCATGAATTTCTGTATTGCCAACTTTGGATAACCTCTGAACCCAAGCCTACAATACCTGGTATCCCCAGGGAGTCTCCCAACCCAAGTATTTAGCAGGTGGAAACTCTGCTTAGCTTCCGAGATCTGATGTGACCACATATTACTCTAATTTACAAATAATTGGACTGACTTTAAGATTGATGGAACAAAAAGTATGCTTACTACTTATGAGGACCTTTACAATATTGTGCCTTAATATTTACAGGAACTGCTGACACCTTATGCACCTCATCGATCTTTGAGATCAGTAAGTACTGGACTCCTGTTCATTCCTAGATTTCATCTAAAGTCAGGAGAGTCGAAGACCTTTACAGTTGTTATGCTCCCTGCCTCTGCAACTCTATTCCAAGACATTAAGAATGATGCTGGCACAAACGACATCTTTTTATTTGAAGTTTTAAAACATTTGTTTGCTTTGACTACGTTTGAGCTGGTTCCGATTGTGCAATGGCTTATTGAGTTCCGAGTACTGTATTGTAATTTCTGTATAGCACCAACCAGGGATGCTTTGCATGACTACAGTAGTTCTATGTAAGATTAAATTGCGTCGTACATCTACCCGAATGTCACAATCGTTTGTCAGGTGTCCTAAACAAACTGCAGCGTGGCATTTCTCTCTGGGGCGGTGCCGGCATCTGTGCCGTTTAACTGCAGGGGTTGAGGAGGTGTGCCTTGTTATTTGGGATTTTTAAATAGCTTCAAATCACGGAGCAAGTTTTGCCCTATAATATCTTTCGAGAGAAAAAGAAAACTGACATTGCAAAATGCCCACGATTATACAGCCAGTTTTACTATTGTTGCCCTCCCCCTTTTTTAGAAGCCAGATGGCATGAGGTAACAATGACGGCAATGGTTGTGCAAGTGCGTGGACATGGAGTGAGTGTCTGCGTGCGTGTGTTTTGTCCAAAGTAGTTGCAGTAGTGGTTCTCACTGAACTACGAACCCAGCAACCCGAGTTTGATTAATGGCCACTTAACATAATGGCATTTAGTGGTCTGGCTTTCTGTGCGTTCAATTCCAAGCATCGATATGTTTGGTGTTCACGCTATTCGTATAGCACAAGACTATAATATCATGAAGATACAATGTTTCACAGGCGATTATAGTTTGCAGTAGTTTCACAGTAGGGACTGATGTTACCGTGTAGTTTTTACCCAATCGTGGTCAATCTCGACCATGACGCCAGCACACACGGCCTTTTTTTTATAACATCATATAATCTTTAACGGTTACTGTGAAGCAAATGGTGTCTATTAATGATTAATACACCTAGAGTATTGACCAGGGTGGCCGCTGGGCTCAAACCGTGAACCCGTGCAACAAGCAGTCACCTGTGCAACAAGCAGTCACCTGTGCAACCAGCAGTTGCTCGGCCATGCCACAACAATTGTGTGCATGCGGTTAGCAAATTGCGCTACAATCCCATCAAACAACCTGCGATAGATGTCACTTCGAGTGGCAAGTACCATTTGACCTTGTCATAGACTTCCCCTAGGTTGACTCAGCCTTGATTGTTAACCTGGTGCAGAGTGTAAACATCATCACTGGTGAGAACGGCAGCTGGGCTTGGTTCTGGCCCCACAACTCCTCAGTGCGCAATTCCACCCTTAATAGGTGCTCCCTTACCCCAACAATCCTGTAAGGTTACACGGGACATCTTTGTTGACTTAAACAAACTGGTCTGAAAATGGATATGGCGAGCTTCAGCATAGCAGCCACGATAACTTGCCCAGCTACATCAAAGTGGCATTCAGTTAGGCTTGTCCACTGTAATCATTTCATTGTGCTCGAAGAAAGCAATTGGTTCATTGCCTTGAAAAACGTATTTCTTCTAACGCTTGGTAATGCGATAGGCACACTGGCCTTATAGTTTCTGGGTCATTATTGATTTTGAAAGATGCGTGTGAATTTAATTTGCAGTTGATTTATACCCTAGGAAATAGCCCTACTGTTCTTTTTTTTACTTTAATCCTTTCTGCAAATGGCTTACACCAAAGGTACGGGTGAAGGCCGTGCTCCTGCAATGCGGCTGACAGGTAAAGGTAATTATTTCGTTGCAGACCAGTCGAGTCCAAGGGTAAAATACAACCCCATCTCCACATTGCTGCATCGGAGGGCCAAAATAGAAATTGATATTGCTCTGGGCTCATTTTAAACTCCGCGGTGCAGTGCAATGAGCCAGCCTGTGATTCTCAGGGAGTTCTATGGCGAGGCACAGCCACCAGGCTTGCATTGCGAATTTCTGCGAAAGCTATTAGTCTTTGCCCTCCCTCTATGCACGCGATGCCGCCGTGCTCTTTGCAGTTTTAAATTAAACCCGTTGCCGTTCTTTCCAGCTTCCGTTATGCGGGTCTTTGCATCAGCGATCATGGCTGCCCCCCCCCCCCCATGGGTTATCGTTCTGCATTTTTGTTAATGAGGTTTGTACGCCGTGAATGCGTTTAAAAAGAAAGAACGAATCCTGCCGTTTCGTTCCTATTTTATTTTGCCCGTTTTGTCGCCGTAACGAAGGTGGGGGAAACTGTTCAGGGGACAAAACATGGCTCCTCTCTCCGTTCCATGTCGGCGGCGCATGAAACGACGTTTGACCGCACGCTCAGCAGAAACGTTTTGGTGGGTGAAACGGGGAGGGGGGGAGGGTGGTCGGGTGGGAAGGAAATATCGATGGGGAAATATGGGAGGAGGAAACTTTGTAAACCGTAGCAGATAGTTACAAATGTAGCCGTACTTATTTTGCAACTGTACGCAGCTTGATTTCTGTTGGGCAACCGTTTATTTAAAAAAATACTAGAATTTAACTTTTGAAAATGGTGTATTGAAAATTTTAACAAAAAAATTACTGATTGTAATGGCAGACAAAGATAACTCTGATAAACGAGTTTCTCATTAAATCAAGGAAATATGTCAAGCCCACTTCAAACATATGACTCATGTTGTGTTACGTCATACGCCCGGCTAAATGTTTACATTTACAGTTTTTTAATACATATTTACTCGTTATTCTTAGAACGATTACTAACAATAAGCTCACTCAAGTTGACTGAATCTTGCAGTTACACAAATTAGGCAACTAAAGTCAAAATAAAAAAATCATTATCCTACACTAGTGGTATCATTTTAAAGGTAATCTATAGATGTCATAGAATGACTTAATAGCAGAGTACGTTAATATTTCGATTTAAAGCTTTCGTGGCTGCAGGGATTCATATTCTTGGTTCTTTCGGTAAAGTCACGTAGAAGGGAAATAATAAAAATAAAACAATAAAATTCTCAAGACGTTTCGGCCACAATGCAAGCAGCCGCCCTCAGGTGAAGAACAGAGCTGTCGGAAAGACAGCGTGTGGTTGCGTTGTGGCCGAAACGCCGTGAGAATTTAATTTTATTGTTTTATTTTTATGATTTCCCTTCTACGTGACTTTACCGAAAGAACCAAGAATAGAGTATGTAATAGTTTGACACGTGCACAACACTAGATTCGTCATCTTCCCGGCATGTGGAAATACGTATATTGTTTTCACCATTGGAAACCTCATTTGCCAGTAACAAAATGATAATTGGTTTTTTACCCTTTTATCTGGCAACAAAACTGACACCTTTTTTATAAAGAGTCATGTTTACATTGACCACAATACCTGCGGTCGGAACGCCTTTTGGCGTCTTCTGGTCCAACACCATGTGAGACGAGGCTCTAAAGAAGCTGTCTCGGGTATGGACCAATCAATTTCAAGGACAGTGCATACATTATCAGAGTTGTTTTTCGTTTGCGTTCCGACCGCAGGTATTGTGGTCAATGTAAAAATGACTCCTTGTAAAAAAAGGTGTCAGTTTTGTTACCAGATAAAAGGATAAAACAATTATCATAACGTATATTTTTTGTTTTAAACACTCAACACGTTTGTCAATAGCACTGTGGCCTTAAAATTAAAATATAAACAGCGACATTTAAGGCAGTGGTCCTACATAGCATAGAAGTCAGTTTGTTTGAATCTGACACCGTTGTATCTGACACCGTGGTATTTAATGTAGCATACAAAGCTCAATTGAAAATAAAATTCGTGATCATACGAATGATTACCCATGCTTTTAAAGTGGCCGAAATGTACATCCGAAATTGTAGAATTGCCTATTTGTTCCCTGTTTGAGAGTGTGGGTTTGTTTGCAACGCCTTGTGACACTGCAGGCTTGCTCCTGAGATTACGAGTCCAGCCTTTAACCACAGAGATCACATGAAAGTATCACACTCCACAGACCTGTGGCATTACTTGTAGCTGTATCTCGGGATGGGATGTGCTGAGTGAACGTTCTATGTTGTGTAAATATTAAAGTGAAGTGGGAACGGACATGTTACTGTGTTTTACAAACAGAGATCAAGCAAACCGGAAAAAAAAACATAACCAGTTAGAAGTACTTAATAGAATACGAAATCAATTCAAACTCACCAAGGGAAATCTATACACAGGCGTGTCTTGAGAAGTAACATTGATGTGAACAGTTGGAACGGTGGGAAGCTGCTGCTGTCGGTTTCAAACACGTTGGGTTCAAAGTTCCCCGCAGTTGTGACTGAAGGCGACGAAAGGGAGGCGGCAGAAATAAATCGCGTTCCTCTTCTCAACGCAAACTCGAGCTTCAAGGCCGATACATGGCGTCCCGTCGTCTCCAGCAGCAGCACCCCCCAAACAATCTCCCAGCTCTGGCCGCACACGCGGCGATGTTTTCACAGCTAGTGGTGATGGGTGGCGCTGCTCTTATTTTGTAAGACCGACCGAGTCTCAGAGACGTAGTGCTACGTACGGTGTCGGGGATGTAACTGAGGTGGGGCGTAAGCCGTCTATCTCTCTTTGCTGGATGGTTTGGCAGGGGAAGTACGTAAGAGCGAGTGGGTAAACACAGGTTGCATGGTTCCCATTGTTAGCTGCCCTGGGCAGGAACATTTTTGCAGCCAAACTGGTTCTTCCACAAGTCAATTTTCCGACTGTGTTTTTTGTTATGTTTAATGACTGCCATTTGCGTGCTGTGTGCCGATAAGTAGTTTTTTTTCACCACCGAACATCCACGTGCAATAGGTTTTCCAGCCAAATGGCCGAAATTATTTAATATTAGATCTACTCCATATAGCCTCACCCATAAGCCATCAGTTTGTGTTTAAGAGTGATAACACAAGCAGCGTATGCTATGATTGTTTGATATGTAACCTCGAGCAATACCTGTTTTTTACAATTAGAAATTTGAGAAATTATTTGATTAATAAAAATAACAATGATTTATCCTTCGTGCTTCCTGTGGCGAAATTAGATGATATTTAAACATTAAGGGGGATTTTTTTTAATCCTCGTATTTGGCTTTGCAAACCATTTTAACTTAAATAAACATAACATATTCATTGAGAACCCAGTGAAGACATGCGGTTGGTTGTCTACATGTATACGATTTACTGATTGGACTTCAACTGCTAATATACTCTTTGGTTCTATTCGGTAAAGTCACGTAGGTAAAACAACAAAAATTACGACGTTTCGGTCACAACACAAGCGGCCTTCATCAGGTGAAGGGACCAGACTGTCGAGACAGAGTATGAAAATTTGTAACTCGAACAGTGTTTGGGAAATTTTCAGCATGGTTCCAATAGTATCGTGACAATTTCAGTGTTATGTAGCACATAGTAATTGTACTAGAATTATACTTTAAAATAGTTTCTGTCGAGACAGTCTGGTCCCTTCACCTGATGAAGGCCGCTTGTGTTGTGGCCGAAACTTCGTGATTTTTGTTGTTTTACCTACGTGACTTTACCGAATAGAACCAAAGAGTATGGATCCTTGCAGTCACGAAAGCTTCAAATCTAGAATTCAACTGCTACTGGCTGTAGTGCGTCATCAAAGGAGGCAAATGACTCGGTTCACCATTGAAGCAGATCTTACATTTGTAAGTAGTTAGCACGAGACTTAAGCAGTGCACACCGTTATGGTGACCCTACCCAGTGGGTAAAACTAATTCACCTTTGTACGGCAACTCTTTGGGGATGCCCAAATTCGAAGAAAATATAGAATTTTGTATTTTTTCTACAATAAAGCATGGACTTTTATATTGTTTTGTCATTGGGGAGAATATAAATAACTAAATAAATAAGCGAACAACTCCGCTGATGAGACCACTACGTGTCAAAACCGATCCAGAGTTTTGCTTGTCTTGAATGGATGCTGCTAAAAATATGCGGTCCCAGAAGGCCGTGCAGCTGATTGATTTTGAACGATATACGTTTATGTGGAGAGATGGATATAAGAAGAAGACGTATTGTCTGCTTATTTCATTTGCTAACATCTCTCTGCTAAATGTCAGCATGCTTACCCTTCTGGAACATAGGTAGAATTGACGTCACTCACGCGCTCATGATCATGAATAATACGTACACGATGCAGACCTAGTCAGAACATGTTGCTAGGAGAGATTAAACATGACCGATAAAAGCGGTGATGGGATGATGATGATGACGCTGCGATAAAATCAGGTGATCACATTATAGGTCGGCTTTTAGCTGACAAAACCAGCCAGGGTTTGGTAACACTGGTAGTCCGACATCCAACAGTAGACGGAAAAGTCTCATGAATGTACTTCGACATTGCATCAATATTAAGATATATACCGAACTTGTGAATGTAGATTTTGTTTTATTTTTCTCATTTTTATAATCAGAAACTTGCAATTAATTAATTACTTTAGAAGAATTACATTGTTTACTGCCTGAATAAAACCTACACTACATTAAATGACTGTATAGTATATTCAGCGTTTACACGTTACATTGGCTTGGTAGATATTGCCCGTGTTGACGGATGTTATATTGTTGCTTTGTATTCACTTAGATTCACAAGACGTTTGTATTGATTAGTGTGGATGTACTTCAGCTCATTCTCTTTTTCACATTAGCATCCATCTGCCATGAGCAGATTGATCCCTATTAAACCAATGATGTTACGTTACTTTTAAAAGAGTATTGGTTTAGCAATGGAACGGCGGCCAATGATGGGAATAACACGCAAATATGTCCACCGTGGAGATGGAGTGACACAATCAGCTCGTGTGCGAGTTAGTAGGATTGCTACATCGCGTGAGAGATGCCAACGGCTGGGGAAAAGCCTACATCCAGCAGTGGATCGATCATGGATGACGATGCTGTTATGTTTGCAGACATAGGCAAATTTTATACATTGAAAGCCACACAAACCCCATTGTATGCCATTGGATAATGAAAAATGTAGTCCATCTCCCCACAGCGACATTATTCTCGAATGAGTCACGAGAATTATTAAGCATGCACATATATAACTTGTTTGTCATTCCACTGTTAGATTAAGGACCTCCCCATGCTGAGTGGGTCTTGGGAGTTATTTGACCCATTGAAGGCTGGTAGCATACTATCAGAATCTGAGTATTTATTTACACTGGAGGAATCTAATGAGCTATAATGCTCTTTTTCACAGATGTCTAGTAGGAGCAGGTCAGAACGTTACAATCGGAAGGCAAAGTATAGAAAAGGTAAACAAATCACTTAACATATACACAAATAAAACCTAACTACAGTACTTTTATCTTACCAGGTACAGCCTACTGAGCTATTAGCAGCACACCAGTACACTAGGGCAACGGATTTTTCTGCACTGCCCTCTGCTGCCCACCACATAACTCTGCAGTAGCAGCCTATAACAATCTGTCTCATGCATGTATCGTGGATAGTGGCTTAGCAGGTTCCAAGCGTGATTCCGGCAATCCAAACATTATCCCAAGATCAGGTCCTTCCCCCGACCAGTTTGACCATATACCTCTCAAAGGCTTGTTCGCCGAATTGTGCTGTAGGGCATGAGCAGTCGTAGCAAAGCACAAAGCTTCGCACGCACGCTCTCCTGAAACGTAGCAGGTGATTGGTGATGCCTTGAAAGGGAGTCAACACAAACAAAGAAAACTGGTTTTCGTTTCTGTTGTGTAAGATGCTCTTTGTCAACGTTTCAGCTATGCACAGTATGGCACATTTCTCTGCTAGCTGTATTTATATAGCAGTTGCCTATAGCATCAGGCTCCCCAATAAGATTACTTCGTATGGCCCAGTAAAGTCAGTTGCTGAAACATAATCCCACAGTTAACTGCTCGCCCCGTGTGGATTTGGGATTATTCTTTGTTGACACATCACAGAAACGTCCATTTATGATGATACCGATGCCATCGTTTTATTTGTGCTCATAGCAAAAGCAAATGCAGCGTAAAGACAGACGGCTGAGAGGAGTGGTGGTGCAGTGGATAGCACACTGCACTGTGCACCTGGAAACCTGAAATTGATTCCCGGCCATAGCTAACATGGGTGGCGAGTAATATCTGAACTGGCCTCGGGCCCCAAAGCTTTACCAACCCGCACTGACCAGCGCGGTGAAGTATGGCGTGGGAAGACCTTCCAGCAGTGGATTGACAAAGGGTAAAAAAAAAACAAAGGCTGGATACATTTGAGATAGAAGTGGAATGTAGTCTGCCTAGGCGTACCCACATGGGCAGAAGGGCGGCGCAGTGGGTAACACGTGTCTGTCAGAGCAAGAATTTGCCTGGGTCTCATTCCCGACTCAGGCGCATCTCTGTATGGAATGTGTATGTTCTCCAACTGTTCTGCATGGGTTCCCTCTGGGTTCTCCGGTTTCCTTCCATAGCTAAAAAAAAATACAATATTAATTATATTGACCAAACATCCTAGTGCTGAAAAATTACCTGCAAATTACACAAACGGGATTACACATACCCACATCTCCACCTACAGCAAAAAAGTGTCTTGAGACTCAGAGAGGCTTTGCTGGCTAAACAAGCGTAACAATAATAATAGTAATAGGTGGCTGTTGTTAGGAGAGATGTTTATTTAACGGTACAGAGGACCATTCCCAAGTGATCAGTTTGAGTTGGGTGCTTTGGGGCCAGAAAAACGCGTTTGCTTTGTTATAGCGTCGCCCGCAAAATGGGTTTCAAAATAGTTTTAAAACAACTCTTTTGACCTTTATGACCAATGGACATGTAATGCAGTTTAACCACCAGCCCACACCTAAAGGTGGGATAATTAAGATTATAATAATGATTCATTATTTGTCAATTGACTGCTGAATAAGGCCTTTCCATGCTGTCAGTCATGGGGATTATTTGACTATACTTCACAATAGTCAGTGTACGTTGGTGAAGTAGTGCAACCAGTACCACTTCAGATATCACGTGTCGCTGATGTTAGACGAGACTGAGAGTCCAACTCAAGTGTCTGGGCTCACAGCACAGAGCATGGACTGGAGGTGAGATTAAACGGAGCAACAGTCTAAGAGGTGATAAGAAGCACATTAACTATCTTTGTATGTATGTTGAACTTCTTTCGCATTGTACATAGCCAACCGTGCTAATCAGAGGTGCGGGGTAAGGACAAACTAAACACAAAAAGCAGTTCTAAAGAAATGAGTTTTCAATCTACAGTGGCGTTCTAATATCGGGAGGAAGAGTTGTGCTCGCCAAAAGTACATGTTACATTACATAAGCAATGTGTAGATGTTACCATGTCTATCAGCGGATAGAGATGGTCATCACCATCGTGATCAGCCATTGTCTATCTACTGTTAGATGGAGGCCTCCCTATGCTGTCACCAGGCATCACGGCCCTGCAATGCCACGGTCCAACTCACCGCTATATTTACTCTCATACAGTACCTAAATGGGGTGGAGCTGTGGCTCAGTGGTTAGCGCACTCGGGTGGCCTGAGTTCGATTCCTGCGACGGTTAATTTCCATGACAAGTGGTATCTGAACCGGTCTGACCCACCCCCTCCTTGACCTAACGAGCCAGAGGGATGAAGTATGGTTAAATAACGCCCATTGGCTGATGCAGCGTGAGAGGCCATCATCCTCCAGCAGTCGAATGACAAAGGGTTTGGACACGTTATATTCGACTTAAATAGGTTTGTTTTAAATTATGTAGATAATCACACGTCATTGATGTCCATTTGACAACCTAAACTGCTGTCTTATTAATCTTTATTACGTTAACATATCATTCATAATCTAGATTTGAAGTTTTCGTGACTGCAGGGATCCATACTCTTTGGTTCTTGCGGTAAAGTCACGTAAATATAGCAGTATTTTATACCTAAGTGACTTTACCGAAAGAACCAAAGAGTATGTCATTCATATCCAATATTATTCACGTCAATGTTTATTTATATTGTATATGTCTTGACATTCGGTGCCTTACATTGTTGTGTATAACTAACCATACATCAATATGGTTAGATATGCACTAATATATGGTTAGCTTTGTAACAGACAACAATGTATAACACTTGCAAATAACTTGATATACTTGAAGGCACGGATCTGGGTTGTGTCATGCTTAGTGACAAGGCGCATAAGAATGTAAACGTGCATTATTATTTACCCTCCCTTTCGTTCCTACTATGTCATGTCAGCACTCTTTAGAACTGCTTTTTGTGTTTAGTTTGTTGTCCTTGACCCACACCTCCGATTAACACGGTTGGCTACGCACGGTGCGAAGGAAGTTCAACGTGCATACATACATACATCACTGGATTGTTTTGTTTACGCAACATTTCTAAATGTGTCCCATTTGCAGCGCGCACACGTATGCATTGCTGAAATAATCCATATCGAAACTCGTGGCAAGTTTTTTCTGTTTTTTTTGTTAAACATGACGCATGGGTTTTTTTGTTAATATATACGAGATCTAGATACGGCGGGGATGGTGTTGGGCTCGCTACACCCGGATAGCCTTTGCCGTATATTGTAAACGGAATTAGCGCGTGGGCCAGTCCACCGAACTGCCGAGCGAGCGAGGGTCTGGTGGAAAGAAAAAAAGCACCGAATAATTTCCGCAAAATAACGGAATTGTTTTTGAAACTGTGACCTTTATCGAACAGGTCGTTGTTTCTGTTTTACCCTCCTGCCAATATTCGTACATATAATTGTCTAGCTCTTTAATAACCGGAGCTGGTGTGATGGAAATTGTGTGTGGTGATGCTCTGTTTTGTTTATGCTGTGCATTATAAGAATTGGTCCTGTGCCTGAGGGGTCACAGACATTGAGCCGGCGCCGCTGAAATCCTCTGTTTAAATATAGTGTTCAGCCACCTGTGATTATGTGTATCTATGTATATTGAACTTCTTTCACACCGTACGTAGCCAACCGTACTAATCGGAGGTGCGGGGGAAGGACACCAGAATAATCACAAAAAGCAGTTCTGAAGAAATGGGTTTTCAATCTACATGATTTGAAAGTGCTTAGCTCCAGTGACTTCCTAATATCGGAAAGGAAGAGCGTTCCAGGTGGCCGCAGAAGCGCATCTGGAAGCGTGCGATGCGGTGGCCGCCATTGTTCGATGGTTAGTGAAAACCGAGTCCTCAAGTGCAGTGAGTTAATGGTCTCTGGTCAGTCAATATGGCTTCCGCAAATAAAACATCACATTTAATTAGATTTTGTTTCTCTTAATGTGGAAAAATTCCAGTTGTGAGAAATTGTAAAAAAAACATTTCTCACCGTCACGGTCTGTATAAATGTGTGCTCCCCTAGGTGTGTGAATAAAAATATAACTTAACATTATTTCAAAAGTAGGTCTATGAAATCTAAAACATGGAGGACAGTATACGCTTCTTGAAGAGTTCCGAATGTATGATTTTGTATCATAATATGACGCTGATAAATACTATTTTAATATAATTAGTTACAACTTTTTGGCACTCCACCGATTTCTCCTCTTGTGAAGGTTTCCTGGCTTGGTTGAGAAGTTGGGATTGTGGTCTGGGATGTGTAGAGCGAATGGACTAATGTATTTGTTGTGATAATTATCTTGTTGTGTTTCTTGTTTTGGTTCCATTTCTTAATTGATGTATTCCTTTATTTTCCTTGCTAGTAGGGTTTTCGTTTGCTTGGTAGTGGCTGTATGTGGGATTTGGTCTGTATATATAATTACTGTACAGTGTTATGGGATGCTACTCGCATGAATGCCTGCTATATAAAATTAAAGTGCAATTTATTATTATTATTATTGGGAAAAGAGAAAAGGGGTGCTCAGTTTGTATTTCACACACTTATCTTTTCATAAGCATTTTATACTATGGCTCCATCAACATTCATGCACGTAATCTGTAGCTGTTCTGCAAGATTTGTTCGACATTTCGTGAGAATAGGAGTGGATTTAACAATTGAATCATTATTCACCGATATTAAAGGCAAACAATACGTGCACCAGATCTTGTGCGCAGGACATGAATTATTTGTAATTCATTATAATTATATGCAAACATTACCTTTAGGGGAAATGTAATGAACGAGAAGTAAAGAATTTTAAAAATGTAGTAGATAGGCGGTGCAGGTGAAATTATACAAAGGGGACAAAAGCATTTCTTGAATTGTGACTCATGAATCGTGCTAATTAATCAAAACGCAGGCAGGCATGCTAGACCGTGAAGGATAAAACACTGCCTGACCTCTCGGTGAGTCTCCCCCAGGTGAACGCTTCTTACAAAAGAAATACCTGCTGCACTGGCCATGACCAACACTGGTAGCACAAAGGCAGCTGAGCAAGGCTCTGGCTATTTCTGCTCCAGACCTCACCCCTAGTCGTCTTAGTATATGGGGGTGGCTTGGTATGGGATTATTACATGGCACGGTATTGCACTATTTAGTTTTTATCCTTTTAAGTGTTTTTACATACCGCTTTGCATTTGATGTAAGTAATGTGGCAGCACTATAGCCAGCATCTGTTTTTGTAAGTAAGTACACCACAGTTAAATGATTGCTCCCGTGGTATAATGGTTAGCACACGTGGATGGCTATCCAGATGTCGCCGGTTCGATTAAATCCGCCGGCACCGCAGCTGAAGCTCAGGGCAAGTTTCTTAAATCGCCCCCCACCTCTGCCCGTGCAAGTGGGTGCAACTACAGTTGATAAATTTTCAGGTCGCATGCGGTGGGGTAAATTGTGGGTACTCTCACATTTCCCAAGACATCTGGCCATCGTGGAGGAGTAGGCCACGGTAATCTCGAGAGCTCACAGTAGTGCAGGCGCCTCTTCTGACAACATCGGCATGAGCGTGTAATTTTCAGGGCTGCACCTTTGCCTTTTGCTCACAACACTTGTCCCAACAGGGGCCATCGTAAGGATTTTTACACAACACAGTTATTTTTTGTTACGTGCATCCTCGAAGTGTCGTAAGCGCTGCTTTGCGTTTCCAGCGTGTTTTACATTCGATGCACTAGCTACAGTTGAGTTCCTAGTGCTTCCTTCCACCCCCCCCCCCCGCCCCCTTTCGTACTCTTCAGGCTGGCCAACAAACAGGACAAAGTCGGCGCCCTGGGTGCAGCGGAAGTGATTGAGCACCTCTCGCTGGAGCAGCTCGTCAACGACAACAAGTGCATCTGTCACATCGTAAGTGCCGTCGCCAAAGGGCCCGAGGAGCGCGCTCTGGTTGAGCCGTGGTTGGACTTCGTGTTTGCCGTTTGAACGCTTCTCATCGCCAAATTGTTGCCAGCTGCATTCGTCACTGTGTTCGTCACGATGTTTGGATCTGCGTGTCCTTGGGTGCCCCTAAAGCCAGATCGCCCCCACTCAGCTCTACCCCCGCTTTGCTCTCCCTGGCCTAAACACTTTATATCACTGCCTGCAACTTGTGAATTGCCTTTGAACAAATCACCCGGGGAATGTGCTGGATTTAGTCAGATCTCTGAAGCCATGTTTGTGGTTGAGCCTGGATAGTGCTCGGATGGGTAACCATCACACACTGCAGTTACAGGGCTTTGGTCGTCAACAATCAATCAAAATGTGTTTTATTTAAGCACTTCCGATTAGCACGGTTGGCTACGTACGATGCAAAAGCAGTTCAACATATGTGCATACATTTATAGGCAACTTCCTTAAGCCAAGGCCCCTATATGTAAATTATTATTCTGCACTGCACACAATAGAGGGCAGTGCAGCAAAAAACAATCCTGTGCTGTACTTTCACATAGTCACTTTAAGATGTTTTTCTTGTTCGTGTTTTTTGTTTGTTGTGGTTGCACCCGATTCAAGAGCCGAATGGCTCACAGGGCTATACCAAAATAAATAAACTGAAACTGAAAAATATGCTCCCAAGTCTATGTTCCCCTCCATCAATGCACACTGACGATCGTGAAGTATTGTGAAAATAATGCCCAATGACCCGCCCCGCGTGGGGGGGTTATCGTCCAGCAGTGGATTGACAAACGGACTGTACAATACATTTGGTAAATTGAAAACTAACATCACATGGGTCAGTGGTAGAATAAATAATATACAGTTGAGAAAGGAGACTGTGCCATTCAGGCTTGGTGTGGTTTTATGTTAAGCGACGAACACAGAACATGCCTCCCGCATATTTTGCGTGACCAGATGACAGATAACATTGTGTAGTTTTAAATATAACTCACGATAACTGTAAAACGAAGACGTACCTTCAGAGAGGCTTCTCCGTTCTCCTGCCTCTCACGACGTTTCTATCTCGTGGATCCGGACTGCGCGTAACGTAACGCACCCGATGCACTTTCCGCTAGCGGAACGTCTTGATGGCCGAGAGCACGTTGTTACGGGAGCGCGTGCCGACCAACCGTCTCGCTTGCCGCGTTCGGGAAGTGCATTTACCCCCCCCAGACTGTATTGGTTTCCTTTGACCCACCCGAGCTGACGATTGGTTATGCTTATTGGAGTGGTCATGGGGGGGGGGCGGGGGGGGGAATGAGGCGGAGGGGATTTTCACGTCGGTTGACTGGCCGAAACTTATCTTACCACTTGCATGCCCTGACAATAAAAGTGCTATTTGGTGCATTATGAATCTGGGATTTGTTGGAAGCAAGTGTTTAAAATTCCAAAGGATATTATTCAAATCATCATTATCACTCTTATGCAAATGATCGCAGTCAGTGACTCACAGCAGTAAAGAGCAGATGATCATTAACGGCAATGAGGAAAGGATAAGTACAGCAAGAGACTGCGTGTGTTTACGGACGCACCTATCACTCACTGCACTGGTGACTGGAGCAGCTTCGGAATGCATGGACTTATGAACTCAGAGGTGTGTCCCATTCTTCAGAGTTACATACATACATGAAGTGCTGTTGCCAATCAAATCTGCTAATTCAGCTGCATTTTCTTGAACGAGCATGACTTGCTGATGAGACTCGGGCAGGCTGAAATTTGTTTACAGTGTTCTTGCTTCAACAAACGCTGCTATGTAATAATGGTCTGAAAAACTATTGGGCCGATGATAAACTAAACAAAATGTCTTGGATATGCTCTTACCCATAATTGCTGTGTAATTGCTGTGTCCAAATAAGTTCCCTTTGGTTAATGCGAGTTTCGCAGCTTGCGGTTTCTTGCACGGACTTCCTGGCTGCAAAAGCCATCGTGCTGATAAGGAGTTTTCTGAAATTAGTCAATGCAGAAAGTAATGGTTAGCTATATAAAAAAAAAAAGTTAGAAACTGAAATGTAAGCCATCTTAAATAGTCGATGCGTATGTGTCCAAATGTACTTATGCTGGAATTGGTACCGAAGCTTAAGTTTGAAAAGTTAAATTATTTCAGATGGTAAATACTTTCCTTTTTAAGCACAGTTAAGTAAAGAAAAATCTACGCGCGGTAAAAAGCCTGCACTTTCGCAATGTTGCACAGCTTGTATTTGCTCTTACTTGATTCTAGTAGTAGTTACTACAACTAGAATCAAGTAGTAGTTACTATGTTTCTGGGAAGCTCAACCTGACAGGCCCAACCACACCCACTCAACCGCTATCGCCACCCACCACATTAAGTGGCCCACTCCCTCCGTCTTTCTTATGTTAGCCCTTGTCCATTGCTCACAAGCCCAGCTTTGCTCCCCTGCTAACTACACCCACTAGTTGGGTAGCCCTGCTCTTTGATAAGAGCAGGATCAAGGGCGCAACCATGGGGGGTGGGGAGGTACATAGCAGCGTTATGCGACGCATAGGGGCGCAGTCGGCCACAAGACGGCCCGAATCAACAGAAAAATAAGTAAAGAGTGTAATTTTTTAAAATATATATTCATTAAAAAATACCCGTGGTCTACCCGGGACCAAGCCCGATTAACGCATCTGACTATCATATCAATAGAGCGTAAAGTTGCACGATCCACCTCCTCTAAGGAAATCCGAGACTGATGGGCTTGCTCGAAAGCAAGATGCATGATAACTGCATTGTGAGTGTTGGCCATGATACACTCAGGCCTTTTAGATAAGACTTGTCTTCATCTAAACCCAATACGCGGTGGAACTAAAATCATATATTGAATTAGAGCCTACATATGATTGTATGCGGGTTAGAACCATCCGTAGCTTTTTCAGTAAAAGTGAGTCTCAGAGATAAATGTACACTATTTTCTGGCTTCCAAAGATACACCCCCAACTTTCACTTTTAAAATACTTGGGGGGGGCGGGGCAGGGGTGAATTGCATCTTATAACCGTGTAAATAAGGTTATAGTAGCAGTACTCCACGAGCGAGCGAGACCAACGGTCTCACACACGTACCGGGAATTCGTCCGCGGCAGGAGACGTGTTCGGCCGTGTTTGGCAGCGGCAAGAAGCAGGACCGCGCCATCGTGACCGGGCTGCACTGGATCCTGCACACCATCAGCCACGACTACGCCGAGCTCAAGGAGCGTGTGGAGCGCGACACGGCCGCCCAGCGCGCACAGGAGGCCGCCCAGCGCAAAGAGCGCAGGGAAAGGGTCCTGCGGGTACGCCAGGAGAGGTGGGTGGCGCTGCGGTGATCATCATTATTGTTGATCATCATCATCATCATCGTCAGCAGTAGCGGCCATGATCGGTTTGCTGTTGGATGAAGGCCTCCTCAAGCCACCTCTCACGATTTTGCGATGCAACAATTACACCCAGAACCTGCACACGAGCTGGCTTCATCGATCCGTCGCCTACGTGGACATCATTTTGGATGTGCTCCATTCATTGGCTGCTACTCCTTTATTATTCTTCGCCATCATCCGTCATCCCTTCTCACGACATGTCCTTCCAAAGGCCACTTACTTAATGCTATGGATGATCTCATTTACCTGCGTATGTTCTCGAGTTCATGTGTTGCTCATTCCATCTTAATCCCAAGCATGCATCTTTTCGTACATCTTTGCAAACGTCTCAGGTTTTTGTTCTATATCGTTAATGTCATAGCAGGTAATGTCAGAGCATGTAGCACACACACAATTATTATTTTTCAACTAATAGTGGAGCATTAGCCAAACAAGGGAACGGCGCCTGAGAGGACACCAACTGTGGACACAGCGATTAAATCGGCTCGTGTGCAGGAGCTGGGCTCTGTGTGAACGAGCAATCGCGTGTGTGCTGTACTCAGGGACCAGCAGGAACGCGAAGAGGCGGAGAGACAGGGGAAATCTGTGAAGGGAGACGAGGACAATGAGGTGATGGAAAACCCCTTCCAGCCGATCGAGAACGTCATCGCCCAGGTGACCGAGCTACATCAACTTGCTTTTGTGGTTTATAGCTATGGAATGGTTATCCTTACCGAACCCCCTGCCCGCAATTCAATGAATTGTACCGTGCGTCTCGTTTTTTGCGCCGTCACGTCCGTACGGTCTTGTGTGCGCTGCCGTAGGTTCCGTCTTGTGCACAAATCGCACCGGAAGCAAATTTGTTTGCATGGAATTGCCACTGATTGAAAATCATACATTCATACGCGCCCCATTCGATCGATGAGCACAATAATCGCGCTTACTCTTTGGTTCTATTCGGTAAAGTCACGTAGGTAAAAAATAGAACAAACATCACGACGTTTCGGCCACAACACAAGCGGCCTTCATCAGGTGACCGAAACGTCGTTATTTTTGTTGTTTTATGTTTTACCTACGTGACTTTACCGAGTAGAACCAAAGAGTATGGATCCTTGCAGTCACGAAAGCTTCAAATAAAAAAAAATCGTGCTCATTATGTAACGTCTGTATTTAAGGTCTCACTGACTCTCTCAAGGCCCATGATTTTTTGGGAAGGGTCATGCACTGGGGATGTTTGGCCAATTCCATTCCTAAGCATTTGGCTTCGTGTGGGAGGAAACCCGAATACCCGGAGAAAACTCGGAGACAAATCGATATTAATTGATGAATACAAATCTCTATATGCCGACTGGCTGCTTGACGAGCTACATTTAGACATGCTGTAGTAGCTCTTTTGAGCATCACAAAACTCACATTACAGTCAGCTCTGTTTAACCGAGCACCTCTATGTAATCTGCCTCCTGTTAATCTGCATTTAAATTGATCTACAAGTAAAATGTGCCAAAATGTTAATGGGATTTTTTTTTTACCCAAGTCTATAGATGTCACTCAGAGAAAGGAGAACATTTCTTGTTCATTAATCCTTATAACAACTATGCTGTCATGGTGTAATGGTTAGCAAACTGCACTTGCAACCCAGAGTTTGCAGATTTGATCTCCCGGTGCGGCAATTAAAACTATGGTGCGCAGGGTTCATTAAATCATCGCCCCCACCACCTCTGTCCATCCAGCAGTGCAAATGGTTACACAAGAGTTTGGTCAGTCGGCAGGTCTCGGCGTGCTGTGCAATAAATTGGGGTGCCACGGTGGTGAGATGTTGACTATCTCGCCTGGTATACAGCAGGTCGTGGGTTCAATCCCGACTTTTACGATGCCTGCTGTATATTTGTAGTTTGTGTGTCTCCCTCTCTCTCTCCCCGTGGAGATGGTAACGACCTCGCCTGGTATTAAGCAGTTTGTGGGTTCGATCCTGACCCTGATGCCTGCTGTATATTTGGAGTTTGCATTCTCTCTCTCCCCATGGTCGCGTGGATCTTTCTCCGGGTCCTCCGTTTTTTTTCCCTCCGCATATATAAACATGTGTTTTTGAGTATTTGGCTGATATAAATTTGCACGCGATAAGCCACTTCGCTGAGCTATCATTTGTGGCCAGGTCGCTTTTGAAAAAGTGGGCCTTTCCCGGTAAAATAAAAAATTATACAAATTATAGGTGCTCCCACCTTTCCAAGGCGACTGACCAGCGTACTAGAGTAGGGCAAGTATCCTCTCTAGAGGTCCCTTAAGCAGTGGCCCTTCTGCCAGCAGTAGTGGCGTGAGCACGTAATTACAGGGCTGCACCTTATATAACAATTCCTTATTAAACTATTTTATAGATATATAAATCAAGTGTGTTTTATAGTGTACTGTATATATGCAGAACTTCTTTCGCACCGTACGTAGCCAGCCGCACTAATCGTAGGTGCTATTCGTAGGTACGTACTTGATACGTAAAGGGAGGTCACCTATAAACGCAAATCAAATACATCTATCTCTCTACCTCCCCAGATGCACATTTCCCCCTCATTTTTAGAGATGGCAGTACAACAAGTGGGTGTGTGACTCCTCATATGTGTGGGTTTTTCCTGGGTGCTCCAGTTTCATCCCACATTAAAATATCCCAATGCAGAACCATCCTGCAATGGTCATGGGTATTTCTCGGATAAATAAATTGCATTATTCTTATGGAGTGGAAGGTGCCTCGCTTTGTGATGAACCTGGCCACCTCAGTTAAATTCCCAGCCACGGCAATCATCAGGGGCGAGTGATATCCTGCTCCCTTCCCCGCACCCTTTACCAGCTATCACTGCCAAGCATGGTAAAGTATGGTCAGATAACCCGCATGGCTGACACAGAATGAGGAGGGCTACATCCGACAGTGTATTGACAAAGTGCTGTAAACATTATTACATTATCTTTACAGTATTTTGAGATGTAATCACAAACCTATCACGGATGAAAAATCACCCAGAATGTGCCTGATCTCAGCAGATCTCAGAATCCAGGCAGGGTTGAACCTGGATATTGAATTGGTGATCACCATACAAGTCAGGTTGTCATAGGCTGTTGTGGGGCTGTCCTACATAGTGGTCATCTCAGGGCAATCCAGCAAAATCGATTGTTGGACTATACTTATATTCCCTCCACGTCAGTGCTCCCCACCCTCACCAACCCTGCTATTAAAGGCCATGATACACTCTGGCCTTCGCTGCTAGACGTGTACCGATCATCTTGGTGAAGTATGGTCAAATAACCCCCGTGTCCCCCCCGTGTCCTGCTCGGCGTGGAGAGGCCCTCATCCAGCAGTGGGTTGACAAAGGGGGCTGTACATACACACACTGGTACATGTATGTAGAACTTCTTTCGCGCCGTACGTAGCCAGCCGTGCTAACCGCAGGTGTGAAATGTGCACGAGTGGGTCTGCCACTGCCCGCTGTGTTATCTCACCCGTGCGTGCATAAACTCGCGCGAACTGGCTGTCGCCACCGCTCTTGTCCACCGCGCAGAACGAAGATCGAATGAAGCGAGAGAAGGACACGGCGAAAAGGAGCGCGAGCGCCCTCAACGGCGAGGTGGTGCTGCAGGAGAAGGAAACGTCGGCTGCGGGCAACGCGGAGCCCAGCTTGGGGGAGCGAGGCCCCGCGTTGGGCGACAGCGCGGACGAGGCGGGACGACCGGCGAGCGGCAGCGCGCGCCTCCAACACTCGGAGGGCGACACCGACCGCACCGACACAACCAGCGCCGGTACGTTCACGCCGTCGGCGCTGCAAGACTTCAGAATCTGAATATTTATGTGTGCTGGGGGAATCCGATGAGCTATTAAGCTCTTTTTAACAGATGCTTCCGCTGCTGAGTGAGCAAACCCCCGAGGCTTCTGAGAGGTTTACAGCTGGGCTGTCTGATTATTTAAGTAATTGGTTACTCTGCCGAATATTGGTTTGATTACTCAACTGATCAGATAACGTGAAAAAGTCCAGGCCTGTCCCCCTCCATCCACATCATGGCAAAGCATCTGAGCACTCATCAGGACTACCTGTAAACCACGTGATTGGGCATACATAGGTGAGTAATATGTAGAGCTGAGCGATCCAATAATTTAAGCAATCAATTACATGTAACCTGCTCTTAAAGTTTACGTACGTGACTTGCATTTAACATGTTCATGTTACAATTTGTGATGTTAACATTGGCTCGGATGTGTCCAGGACACACTCGACGTTCAGGGCTTGTTTCCACCGAGTGCAATTGTTGATGGCGTTCCACAGGCGTTGATGAGAAGCCCAAAAAGAAACGCAAGAAGGTGAAGCGGAACAAGGTGGAGCCCGTCAACTTGGAAGACCACACGGAGGGTGGCACCGCCGCCTTCACGGCCACTACTACCTCTTCAGGTCAGCAAAACACAAACAAAGATCTCCAATATAGCCTTAACAAGACTGTTGGGACAAGTGCTGTTAGCGAGCACCCTATGAAAGGCAGAACGGTACACGAGGGGGTAGATGGCCAACACCACCCCCGGCCGCCTTTGTCTCCCTAGTGGCGATGTTTACACACCACACCAGGTACTCATTTGAGGCTGAGTCGACCTAGGGAAGGCCCAGGACCGGTTCAGATATTCGTCACTGTTATTGGTCGTGAGCGGGAATCGAACCGGGGGCGGCCGGGTTCGTGCCACAGCGCGCTAACTGCGACACGACCACTCCAGGTGAGCTGCGCTGCTCCCACACCCAGTCATGGGACCACTGCACTTGAACTGGACCTGTAATGCCACCGCGTAACGTTACACCACGGGGCGATAGGTATGAAGCAGGGTGAAAATTAAAATGGGCGTCGCCTGCTCTTGAAAGGTCAAGATATCACCGTACGTTCGGAGAGTTTCACGGAATACGTCACGAGCAATCGTCACTGGCAATTGCCATCGGTACCGGCACTGAGCAGCGTGGTGATATATGGTCAAATGATCTCGCCACGACCCGTACGGGGGTGGGGAGGTCCTCATCCAGCAGTGGATTGACAAAAGAGACGTACGTTAACACTTGTTCCGATATGCCAGGGGTGGGGAACGTCCGGCCCGCAGGCCGTACGAGGCACCGCAAAATCATTTGGTGTGGCCCTGCCAAGGCAACCGCAGGCGCGACTCGAAATTCAATAAATCTAGGAGCAAACCTGGAAAAGCAGTTGCGAGTAGCAAACATCATCAATACCGGCTAACATCATCACACGCCTCACCAAAGAGAAGCAGTTCCAGCCATCGCATTAGGGTGAGTAATTAAATGTTTGACCAAATATAACGGGCTATTTTTTAAGTTGATAATTTTGTATGGCCCGCGAATGATGTTATAAATATCCAAATGGCCCTTGGTAGAAAAAAGGTTCCCCGCCCCTGCAATATGCAACATAAATTCACTCGCCCAATTCTTGACAAAATCTAATCGCAGCGCCCCCTAGTGGGCAACTAAGATGGCAGCTTCTAATCAGATCGCGGTGAGATCACGTAATGACTCGAGGCTTTGTGCTGTGCAGACTCAGCATTTTTCTTGAACACACACTTTTCAACTCTGTTTTTAGTGACAAGACACAACTCTATCTGCCATGCCAAGTTTTGATAGATGCACGCTGCCAGTGACAATTGCTGTACTCTCGAATTGCCCGAGTGTATCATGACCTTTACTCATTGGCTGTCGCTAGAAATTGGCCAGTTTGCCTTGTGGCGTGCATCCTTAATAACACAACCGAGTAGATAATTGGGTTGGTTTTTTTTATTTTGTCATAAAACAACATCATTCCATGGTTATGCGGAAGCACAAGTATCCTGTTGTTAATAAGAAAATGCCAATTTTCCTCTTTAAGTTCCAGCTTCGTGGTTCCCGCATTGATCGGCACTATCACAGGATAGATATTGTATGTCTATCTTGTGATGTGTAACCTCTTAAGACTCAATGTGACTGGTTCCCACCATACACAATGTCTTGTTAAGTATTTGTATTAACTAGTACAGTATTAGACAAGTAATGATTCACTATCCGAGCGATTGGTCGAACTTTCATTCGGTGATTCAGTTGAAGATTCGATTCTTTGTCTAGGTTTTACTGTTTCAATTGATTCGCGTTTGTTTGATCTCGCTATTTCTGTTTTGTCTGTTTTCTTGGTCTAAATTTTATATTCACATGAAGAGAGAACAATGTATTATTTACGGACAATTCAGCGTATCTATTGTGAACGTAAGATTCAGTGGATTCAGTGGACGATGTGTTACATCTTTACATCCCTAGCAGTTGTACCACAATGATATCAATAGAATGCACTTCATTGGCGCTCATGATGGGCCACACTTACCTGCAGTGGTCGACAGGACCCGTCAAGAGCGGTACCTCCTACCGGCAGGGGAGTTGCTGCATTGCCCAGCCCAAAGGCAGGAGGGGCTGCGGGGTGTTCTGGGATCCCCCGAGGCCCCTCCCAACGGGAGGGGGCTGCGGGGTGTTCCAGGATCCCACGCAGCCCCGCCCCTCGGTGGGGAAGGTGTATATAAGCGGACCTCTCCAGAGGTTCGGGACCAGTCGAAGACAGATGCCAGAAGACCAGCCAGCTTAGGACCCCGGACCCCCTAGCCCCGCTGTCCTTGTAAGGGCCGGGGCTCTGTGCGGGCTAGTGGTGAGACCCTGGGACTCCCGGCCCGACGTCCTTGTAAGGGCCAGGTCCGAGGAAGCCAGTGGTCTAGACCCGCACCTTGGCTGGGTCGGGTCAGATAGCCTCCCCTAGGTAATGCGTAGCCGGAGGACCTGAGAGCGTAGCCGGTGTCATGCACGCTGGACGTAGACTGAGTCCCTAGTCTGTATACGAAGGTCTGTTGCTGTAGTGCGTTATAATAAACGCGTCGTCTCTACAAGTGTCTCCAGAACTCACTACAAAAGTGACTTTAAATGATTGGAGACAGCCCTGGAAAAACACATCTTAGGTCATCATCTACAAGAGCTATTTAATGCTTGGGTTGTCTTCCTTTATACTGGGTATTGATGTGGCTCCTTTCTCTATGGTGTTGCGTCTAACAGCAATAATGATAATTTGAATGTATATCAAACATTGGTGTTTGCTGTATTGTTGCAGTGCAGTATTCCATTGTGTGCCCGAAACTACACATGCGTTGGCACATTGATAGTCTATTTGCTCTTGAACGGCATGCTTCATTATATTAGGATTGGCAGGTTTAAATTTTGGTAATTGCCATGTCATTGATTTTAGACATTTTAAGAATTAAATTTACCCTGTAGTTGTGGATATAGACTGGTGTAACGCCACAGAAGCTGGGAGTCCCTTGTTATATGTAGAACAGTTTGCTCTTAATATCCTCGGTCATTTCACAGATGAGAGAAGTGCCGTGGCAATTTGCTGCAATTAACCTCGTTCACCTGCAGCTCATTAACGTGCCACGCCCAGCGACAACGGTTGTTAAACCGCGGCCATTCAGCAGATTAGAGGATAATTGTAGATAATAGGATCCGCAAGGAGCACCCTCCATATCGATGTGGCGAAGTGGAGTGCTACTGTAAACAGAGTTACAATGGGTATGGGCTGAGGGTGCCCTGAGGAAGTGTAACTCTTTCAATTTGTGACGTCAGCGACACGCACGGCTCGAGTTCTGCAGCTTAAAAAAACAACATCGTGCCTCCCGAGTCATGCCGACCTGACTCGGCAAAGGCCTCAAAGTAAAGAAATATTACCCTGTGTTTCCAGACGTCCTCAGGCCAGAACATAATACCGGTTGTTGTTGCTGTTGCATTTTTTTTTAACCGACAGATGTTCGGGGACGACCACTACCACCACTGATCCTGCGTCCCATTCCCAACAGCGAGTCCAATGACGTTCTCAACTAAACAACCAACCCACATAACCCACGGCATGGACAAACACCTGAGGACTCATCGGGACCATCAACAGACCACCCTAGTCGTCACGCGAAGATCAGTCCATATGGGATATCTGATTATTTATCGGTCCAATTATGAGTTTGATTACTCGACTAATCGAACAACACGAAAATCGTTGGGGGGAAAAGTCGCACCTCTGTTCCTACGTGTGTCTCTGGACGAGAGGTGATGAGCGGGGCTTGATGTTGTCAGCATCATCAGCCACATCACGCTGGCTGTGGCTTGTAGGGGGTTTCCCACCTTCGGGAGGCAGGATGTGGGAGTAGCCCCAGTTTTTAAAGAGGGCCCAAGCAATGGACCATGAAACAAATAGTCAAATGCAAACTTTTAGTAAAATAATTCACGTAATCGATTAACCGTCTGAGCTCTAATCATGTGCTTTCATCACTTCAGAAACTTGCATTTTTTCATCTTAAGAACACGGGGTGAAAAGTCAAACCGTAGTCAAGCTGCTTGGCGGGTTATTTCTAATAGTCGCATATTGGCTAGAATACTGAATTTAGAATGGTCAAGAGAACGTGTTTATTTCAAACTGAAGCATAAAAATACAGCACTAAATTGGTTCACTTGACACTATCAGATATGAAAAATATAAAGACTAAAAAAGAGTTTCCAAACTGCAGATGGAGCACAATTCCTTTAGGTCTACCGATTAACGTTTTATATTTTGATAAAGACTCAAACGGTTTTCAAAAGAGATTAGCATGTTTGTTACGATTTATTTTATTCATACCTAACAGAGAACGTGTGTTTCTGCAGAAAACAAGAGTGTGTTATTTAACGCGATCACAAATACTGTCAGATCACGATGAAAGGAAACTGTATGTAATTAAACGTGGGACCACAGGACTTCACAGACAAACCATGCATTGAAAGGAACCATATGGTGTTCCTGAACAAAACAAACGCATTCTACTTTCTGCTAATAATTTGGCACATTTAGTATCGTCGCCTTTTGCTATCGCGCAAGGCTATCATGAAAGCGCTCCATTTCACAGATAGATAAAGTCGGCGAATCCAGCTTGGAGGCTCAATGGTAGAATGAGCGGTAGCATGATATGCAGGTAATTCTTCAAATGTCGAATATTTAGACCGTAGCACAAGCACCCATAACCTACTCTTTTTCAAATAACCTGGATACTTAACGTCCACTGCAGGGGAAATGGCTGCGTATTCATGGTTAATACATCCACAGTTTTAACCAGGGTGACCACTGTACTTGAACCGCAAACCCTTGCAACATCCGGCAGCAGATGCCCTACCGCTCGGCCACGTCGCTGCCCTAAGCAGCTTAATTTTTTCTACGAACGCATTGTTTTCAAACCTTCACATGATGGCTGTGTGCAACTCCTACATTCATTTTAACCAACTGTAGACGTAGCACAATGTACACTTTTATTTTGATCCTCTGTGGAGCCTGAGTAAGGTAATATCAAATTCATGGATTTATGTCAGTTCATTAGTTTTACATTTTATACGTCGTTTGAAGTTAAATTACAACTCAAAAACTCAGCCACATAAATCATTAACACTGCTTATAATGTAAGAAATATGTAGTGGCTGATGTTTTGCATAAAGGTGCTTCTTCAGAACATATGGAGATGGTAGGGATAGCCATAGGTCGCACTTTATCCTCTATGGAGAGGATAAATGTGACTGTTGGTCATCTCTGTTGGTCATCTGGATGATCCATTCAGAACTCTGGGTCCTAAGTGCACAAAGGGGGTGGGTGTGACCAAGGGCCATGCCTGGCCACCTTCGTCTCCCCAGTGCTGATGTTTTCACCCTGCATCAGTTACTCATTTAAAGTTGATTCCACTGAGCAGAGGCCCAGGACTGGGTCCGTATGTCTCTTGGCACTCATATTAGCCATGGCAATTACTCGGTGTCTCTTATTTCCCCTCTACAACGCCTTTACGGAGGCCACTGGGTCCACTAACTTCAGGCAGTAGCACCCCCTCCACCGTTGGCGATCATACACACCATCTTTTGCTGTCGAATAACAGTAGACTACTTCTGCAGTCAACTTAGAACGGTTTCCTAGCTCTGTCAAAATTACAGTTTCCTGCAAATCCCCAGATTAAAGTGTAACCTCTACCATTTGGTGCTGAAGGAAGACTGTCACCTGAAACTTCAGTTTCTATGTATTGCTCCTTTGCAAGGCATTTTAAACAAGTGTGGGGTTTTTTTTAAATATATATTTTGTGTTGCCCCTTTGCACAGTGGCCAATGCAGTCCCTTATTTGTTTTGTCACTCCTTTGAAGTGTTTTTGTCATTTCGAAAGAGAAAGTCCACATGCAGCAGAACAACCTGCTGGTTAACGCGGCACATTCGCAGGCCAATGCTTTGGAGAGCAAGCTTGTTTGCCACTGTGATTAAGGTACAGGGTGACCTAGCTATAGATCCCCTTGGTTATTCATACTCTAGGGCTGCCTGGCTTTTACATGAACACAGCCACACATTTTACTCAGGTTTTACGCAATACCATTCCTAATGACATATCGAGGCACATCTTTCTGAGCTCACCTTTCAAATACAAATTAATTAATCGTTGCATGCGTCTGATGAATTATAATAATCACATGTGTGTATACGTACAGCCCGTTTGTCAATCTATTGGACGAGGGCCTCCCCATGCTGTGCGAATCGTGGAAGTTATTTGACCATACTTCACCATGTCGGTCAGTGGATTTGTAAGCGCGTGGGTGTTGGGGTATACAATACAATGACTGACCTCTGCTGCCCACCAAAAACCCACATCCTATAATACCTGTTATGCATGGTGGTCATTGATCCAAGCACTAATTTAGGGTCAACCCTGCTTAGTTTCCGAGGTCTGATGAGATCAGGAACATTCCAGGGGTTGTCCTGGCTGAGCAGAGTTTGTGTGTGGCTGTTTGCAGCATCTGGATCTCCTGCTCCACCTACGAAACATTTCAACTCCCTGTACCTGCAGGAGTCGGTTGTTGAAGGCATCGCACTTGTTCAGACTGGCACACGGAAGAACCTCGACCTTGTGCTTTGTACCTCCAAGTTCGCGTTTAGTAAACATTTGTGTACGTTACAAGTAGTTTTACTCTGGGTATTCATAATAAAGGTTCTTGGGTTAGATCGCGTTTATTTATAAATGTGTCGTAACCCTCCACCACCCGACACGGCCAATCAGCAAAAAAGTGTCACGTTGACAAAGACAAATAATTCACTACTTCAGCCCACCGGTGTGTTGAAGAGTTAATCCACATTTACAGTTTGAGTACGACGTTTCGCTGGTAAATACTTCCAGCATCATCGGGCAATTCGCCAGAATGGTAAAGCCCTCGCTTGCTCCCGGTTTTATATAGGGCAGCAGGGTGACGTCATCACTTAACTCATCAGGTGCAGTGATTAGAGGCGGAGGGGGGGGGGTGTAATGTAATTATATAATCGATTAGTAATCAGTCATTGGTTATGATTAGTAATGAGTTGTAGATTAGTAATTCTTTAAATCAAAATGTAATGTGTATTATTTAATAATACGCTTCCAGGCCGCACTAAGCCGGTAGCTGTCAGAGCGATTAAAGTTATTCTTGTTCCTCTCAATTTCAATGGATTCTCTAATTAGTCTTTGCCAGTAATAATTAGTTTTACACACCACTGCAACATTGTCAAAATCAATTGAGTGTCCTTGTTGACAAGCATGTTCTGCCACTGCCGACAGTTGTGTTTGAGATAATTTAATATTTCTCTGATGTTCTTTTAGTCTTACGCTGATGTTACGTCCCGTCTGCCCAATGTAGCAGCTGCCACATGAACAATTAATCCGATATACACCTTCTGTTGATAGTTTAGGTAATGCGTCTTTAGTGCAAGATACTAGTTTTTGAATTTTGTGTACTGTACCAAATCTTACTGTAATGTTTTGCTTTTGCAAAACACGGGCTAATTTGTCAGTTACTCCTGAGATATATGGAATTTTTATTGTTTTAACAATCTGGTCGCTTTCAGTAGTATTGCTTTGCGATCGTGATTTGGCATTCAGTGCTCTGTTAATTTGAGCATTATTGTAGCCATTCTGTCGTAGTGCGTCTTTAACGTGTTTAATCTCTCTCACTAGACTCTCACCATCTGACACTGTTTTCGCCCGATGTACGAGCGTCTTGATAAGAGGATTTTTGAGCTGGATGATGATGTGATTCTGCATTCAGATAGGCATCAGTGTGCGTTTGCTTTCTGTAAACGCTGTGTGTTATTTTACCGTTTAGGCCATGTCCAAGCAAAATATCTAGGAATGGGAGTGTGTTATTCACCTCCATTTCCATGGTGAACTGGATGGCCGGGTTTTGTGCATTGAGATGATTTAGAAAATCATTAAGTGTATCTTTACCATGTGGCCAGACAACCAAAGTGTCATCCACATACCTAAACCAAAAGGATGGTTTTAATGTGCTCGAGGCAAGTGCTCTTATTTCAAAGTTTTCCATGTACAAATTTGCTATAGCAGGGGATAAAGGAGAACCCATTGCTGCTCCTTCCTTTTGTTTAAAGAAATCCCCTCTCCATAAGAAGTAAGTGTTATTTAAACAATGGCCAGCAAGTTTCGGAATATCTTTTTGTAAACCGGTATTCTTTACTAGTGTATCAAGTAATTTAAGCGATTCGTCCACTGGAACCTTAGTGAATAGAGAAATCACATCAAAACTTACCAGAATATCATCAGGAGTAAGTTTAATATCTTTAATCACATTCACAAGATGTTCTGAATTTTTTATGAATGAAGATGTCTTACCCGGCCATCCAGTTCACCATGGAAATGGAGGTGAATAACACACTCCCATTCCTAGATATTTTGCTTGGACATGGCCTAAACGGTAAAATAACACACAGCGTTTACAGAAAGCAAACGCACACTGATGCCTATCTGAATGCAGAATCACATCATCATCCAGCTCAAAAATCCTCTCTTATCAAGACGCTCGTACATCGGGCGAAAACAGTGTCAGATGGTGAGAGTCTAGTGAGAGAGATTAAACACGTTAAAGACGCACTACGACAGAATGGCTACAATAATGCTCAAATTAACAGAGCACTGAATGCCAAATCACGATTGCAAAGCAATACTACTGAAAGCGACCAGATTGTTAAAACAATAAAAATTCCATATATCTCAGGAGTAACTGACAAATTAGCCCGTGTTTTGCAAAAGCAAAACATTACAGTAAGATTTGGTACAGTACACAAAATTCAAAAACTAGTATCTTGCACTAAAGACGCATTACCTAAACTATCAACAGAAGGTGTATATCGGATTAATTGTTCATGTGGCAGCTGCTACATTGGGCAGACGGGACGTAACATCAGCGTAAGACTAAAAGAACATCAGAGAAATATTAAATTATCTCAAACACAACTGTCGGCAGTGGCAGAACATGCTTGTCAACAAGGACACTCAATTGATTTTGACAATGTTGCAGTGGTGTGTAAAACTAATTATTACTGGCAAAGACTAATTAGAGAATCCATTGAAATTGAGAGGAACAAGAATAACTTTAATCGCTCTGACAGCTACCGGCTTAGTGCGGCCTGGAAGCGTATTATTAAATAATACACATTACATTTTGATTTAAAGAATTACTAATCTACAACTCATTACTAATCATAACCAATGACTGATTACTAATCGATTATATAATTACATTACACCCCCCCCCTCCGCCTCTAATCACTGCACCTGATGAGTTAAGTGATGACGTCACCCTGCTGCCCTATATAAAACCGGGAGCAAGCGAGGGCTTTACCATTCTGGCGAATTGCCCGATGATGCTGGAAGTATTTACCAGCGAAACGTCGTACTCAAACTGTAAATGTGGATTAACTCTTCAACACACCGGTGGGCTGAAGTAGTGAATTATTTCTTTGTCAACGTGACACTTTTTTGCTGATTGGCCGTGTCGGGTGGTGGAGGGTTACGACACATTTATAAATAAACGCGATCTAACCCAAGAACCTTTATTATGAATAATATTGGTCGCGAAAGCCTATGTGTTAAACTTACTCTGGGTAATTTGGTCAGGGCTCACGTGCTGAGAATTTTTCTCTTTTAATTATCGCGATAGCCATCTTACGTGTGTTGTGTGTACATGTCTTAACTTCATGTAGAGCTCATTTAAATCGGTGAGCTTAAAATTTATCAAACTGGAAAGATGTGGATTGCGAGTTTGGGAAACCCCGATTATATCTACACATGAACGTGTGACCATCTTGCATACAAGGGACCGAACCAACATTTATTTAGAATCATTGGCTACGAAAACTATACCATGTGTTTTTGAGTAGGCTTTTAAAATTGTCGGTCCAAAACCTCTCTGGACCCACTGACTGCAGCCAACTCTCAAAAACTGTTTGTGGATCACCGTGCACCAATAGCGTAGTTTTAAAACTTAAAATTACTAAATCGTAGTGTCTGGAAGTTTTTTCAAACCACTTCCCACATTGGCCTTGCGGACCACAGGTTGGGAACCAGTGAATTATTACCTCTAGTACGATACACTCCAATGTTTTACTTTTGAATACCTATTGCTTCGCAGCTACGCATTTATGTAAAAAAATGTCAGAATTCACTTCCCAACAAGCACGGGGTTTTTTTATGTGTACTTTATAACGGCGATGTTTGAAATGACATACATTCAGCTGTACTGTACCTTTTTAATGGATAACAAATATCAGAATTCTCTATCGCTAATAGAGGTCGGCCATGAAGTCACCAACATCAGTATATGTGTGCAGGTTCCAGGTAGATTATTACGTTACAGGATCACGAGAAGTGGTGGCTGCGACTTGGGGGGGCAGGGGGATGAGGGGGGTGGCCTTCGTCCAGCAGTGGATCGTCCGTGGTTGATGATAAAAGGTAAACTGCAGGTGTTGTTCACAGCTGGTTTGTTAACGATTAGCATCATTTTGGATGAAGGCCGTTTTATGAAGAGCACACTTTTTTCGTGCGCGTGTACTTTAATGGCAGTATTCACTTTATTTTGTTACAAATACCTTGCCTTGTAATATGCGCGTAGTCAATAAACATATGACATTGAAAATTGGATCATTTTAGGTTTGATTGTATTCATTTTAGGTTTGATTGTATTCATTGGCACTGGTAATAAACAGCCCTAAGTCGTTTTACAATGACCCGCGAAATGGCAGCGGTCCAGTTTATTTTAAATAAAACTCGTTTGTTTAAAAGATAACGAATGTACTGAAGCACAAAAACGCAAGTTTTAATTTTATAAGTGGAACATGAAAAACAGAACAGTATATAAAACGTATTTTCTGTTCCCATAGCAATATCCAAACTGGCTTTCTTATGTAGATGCCAGGCAATAACAATGTCTGCACTAAAACGCAAACTATACCGAACGTTTCATCGGCAGCAGCCATACGCTCTACCAAAGCATTTGGCCGAAATCACTCACTTTGGCAACAAAATAGTTGCAAAGAACACACGGTAAAACTTGGGTAAGGGAATGCCCGAGGTTATTATTATTAGTGCTTTAATATTGCTCACTAATCCTTGACATTACAATGGTAATCGCCTATTGTCTTTGCTGTAAACAAATCAAAAGCTATAACCATCCTACAAGTGTTTCTGCCGTTGTCAAACTTGATTGCAGAGTAACACGATTAAAGCGCCATGCTGGGTTGGCCGACAGCCAGACACAGGAAGAGCTGCGACAGGCAAGGTCAGGGGTCAATGAAGGAAAAGAAGACGATTTGGGCATTTTCAAAGAAATGACGACGAAAAGCGGGAGCTAAAAGATTCAAGAGGTAAAATATAAATAGTAAAGACCCAGAACTTCAAAACCCAACGCAAACGTCACTTGAACGATAAAGTTCTGGAACTACCACGTAAAAACATTTGAAGAGACTGCAAACATTTGCTAAATGCTGTTTACAGAACAAGGACATCGTCCGGCAGCTACACCAGGTTAGCAGTGCAAATCACCATCTCCCCCCCTGCCTTGGAAGAGATTCATCAGGCATTGAGTGCATTTAAACTCACGGGCCGATATTCACCGATCGGCCTCGCTCTTACATGTCAAAAATACTGCCACAGCTCACCAGTTGGTGGATGGGCTCATTGCAAACGAGGGTTCCTCTTTGACTTCTGGACTTGCTTTCCCCCACTCCTTAGCCTGCGATTCCAGCCCCTGATTTTTAAAATCACGGAAATGGTTTATCGCTGTTAGCCCGAATGGCTGGACCCAAGATTTCCTCGAGCGCTCTAATCTGATCGGCCGCTTTGGTTGCGGGGTCCTCGTCAAGGCTCCCCATCTGTCACCGACACACGGCGCAATCGCACAATTGGCATCGCCTCGAGTCGCCTCCAGTTGCCCAATGTGCTTCACCTTCAACAGACTCGCCAAGGTATTTCTGCTTTCGACATCGATTTCACAACAGCGGAGAGGCGAGCCAACGCGAGGCTCGCCCCCATCGGTTGCGTCTGCATCTTCTTGCTTTACGATTTTCAAAATTATGTCAAAGTCATCAATTACTTCTTCCTTTGGGCGATTTGTACCGAAGTGTTTTTCATTCCCTTTCATTTTTGTTCTGGGGATTTTACTCTCGGAACAGTTTTCGTCATCCCCAGTGTTGATGCCACTTTCACCCGAGTGTTTGGTCTTCCGAGATCGTCCTTTCAGAAACATTTCCGTAAACACAGAATTTGTTATTTCACTTCCAGATGACAATTGCATCTCGTGATCATCTGTCTGAGCTTTGCACATGTCACTTCCGGATGAAAACGGATGTTCTACACCATCTGTATTCACAATTGTGGTTCTAGCATCTCTATTTCCAATGGTTTCAGTTGCTGCACTAGAGCTTTCATTTTCTGTCTTCGAATAATCGTTGCCAATGTTAGTTTTATACAATGTATCAAATTCACTTTTCGTCACCGAATATACATCACGAATCTTAAAAACAACACTCGCTGCATTATGTTGCTCACTTGTGGCTGCTTCTTGTTCCTCCAGATTTTGCGTGAAACGAGACTCTGCCACTTGCATTGCACTCTGGTTTGATCCAATTTCAGAATTTCCTGCAGCTACATATTTGGCCTCTGGAGTTGCTGCAATTGCCTCGACTTGTTCACCTTCAGTAATCTTCATTGCAACCAAAGGTTCAGCAGCAGTTGCAGCATTGTCCTCTAATCTCTGACCAAGTACTGCTTCAGGCAAGCAAGCCAAAGGGGATTCCTTTCCGCCTTGTGAATCTGCAGTTTCTGATTGAACGCTGCTGCAGAAATTCATTTTCATCATTTGCTTGCCTAAATATATTGACTTGTGTCCACCTTGACCTGACAAGTCTTCACAACTGCTATCAATTATCAAACTCCCTTGTGGCTCGGCAGATTTAAGCTCCATATCCCACAGTGCTACCAAATGCTTCTTTCTGAACTTAGTGGGTTCTTTGTTGTGCTCTCCCAACGAGCTATTGGTTGCATGCAAGGTTGTGCTCGAATGAGCTTGGGCCACTCGGCATTCTGTTACATTTGTGGTCTGATTGGGTGCTTTTTCATCACGGGACTTTTGTGCCAGCGAATCATTCCTATGGCTTGTGCACGCGCCATGCTCTTCCTTCTGTTTAGCCGCGATGAACTTGACAACTTTCCGTCTGGGATCCATGCCTTCCTGTATGGTGCTAAGCAAGGCTGGCAAAGTGACATCCAAACCTACACTTGCACCTACATAACCAGCATACAGTGGCAGTGCAGAGTCACCTCTGTTCACCATCTGTGGGGTTACGGAATGGCTTTGTGGCATCGACATGGGAATGTGCATTGGTGCAGTCGTGGCGGTGGGTTGCACATTCACAGCTGTTGGAATTTCTGGCTTTGGCATTACTGTTGAAGATGTGGGCACTGGGGGGGGGGCAGGATAAAGTGGCGGGGGCCCAAAAGGAAAAACACCAGGTGGATGTTGGTGCTGAACACTATGATCTTGAAGGTGCGATGATGATGATGATGTCGATACAGGTGAGAAGGCGGATTTTGAAGAGTAACCCGGTGGATAACTGTTACCCAGTGCCGTCCAAGTACTGCTCTGCCCAGGAACGCAGGGAGGCAAACCCTGCCGTGGGTAATACATCGGGGGCTGCTGCCACAGTGTTGGAGTGTTACATTGCATCTGCGGAGGAATTTGCCAAACAAAGCCAGCCATTGGATGCTTGTGTGGATAAGGGTGTGTCTGCAGAGCTAGCGGGTTCATTGGAACCCCCCGGAAGACACCATATCCTGGCCGGTTACCCTCCGCCGCCGCCGCGCAGCTCAGCTCAACTGTCTTGTTAATAACCGATTTCATCAGATCAGTTAACGTACTCGTGTTCATGGGCACCATTTTGTCAGGTTGCGATGCGCTGCCCGGGGCCGCTGAACTCGCGGCCGTCGCAGGTTCCGTTGACGGGGCCCGAACGCTCCGCGGCCTATGCGGCAAGTGTCGACGGGAGTCCTCGGTCGAAGCCGATGGGTAATGGCGCGAACATTTCAAGCAACTTGTGACGTGATCGTGGTTCAAGCTTCTTTTCTGCGGCTCCTCATTGAGAGGAAAGCGCATCAAATTCCTCAAGTTGTAGGTGTAACAGTAATGCGGCAGAGGATCCATGATCTCCTGGAATTAAACCAAAGCATTTATATGCATGAACAAAAACGTTATAGCTTTGACATCTAAACTGCACTTTTAATTCTGAGTTCGATACTTATTTACATGCAAGTAGAATTGACCTTCAGTTACATTTTCAACAGTGCACTATAATCTCATATTAGCAATGACCGCATCTAAGCGTTTTGACAATACATGTTATAGCTGTCAAGGTACATTTTCAAGAAAATATAAAGGTGGAGAGAAATAAATGGAGGTATTTTACTATTTTATTACTAACATTTTACACTCCATGATTCTTCTGCGTTGGGTATTCATCTGTTTTGTGGAAAATAACAATTTTCCTGCAGAACGGGTTGCTATAAGCACCTTGGCAGTTCACCTGCATTGGTTCAAACTAGCCTGTAGATATTTAATGTCGAATCCAGTGAAGCATTGCTGAAATGTGCATTTCCCAGAAGGCCAAGCGGCCGACGAGTTGTGTCGAAAGACAAACATTGGACTGCTTTATTTTGCGACTCCAGAATGGGAATTTCGTCAGTGATGGCACAAATAAGTGGTACCGCTGTTGCTGCGATGGAGAGAGCTCTAATTATTTATCCAGCTCCTGGTATATCAGGTAAGACACGTGTCATGTGCGCTCCAAGAATGGGGGGGGGCTGTAAGGTATGTAATAATTATCTGGTATGGGACCTTTCTTACCCACACTTTGAGACTAGGCTCCAAAGAAAGCTGTCTCTGGTGTGGACCTACCAGTTTCAAAGACGATGCATCTAGTATCTGAGAATGTTTTTTTTTGCATGTCCACCACAATTACGTGTGGTTAATTCAGAATTGATTCCTTGCAAAATATTTGTTTGGTGTTTTAACATCTTTACACAACTGTTTTATTACAATACGGTTTTTCCCCTTTTTGCAGGCAACAAAACTGAAACCTTTTTACAAGGATTCATGTCTGCATTAACCACAATACTTGCAGTCAAAATGCAAACAAAAAACACACACTGATAATATATCCATTGTCCTTAAAACTGATTGGTCCACACCAAGGGACGGCTTTCTTTTGAGCCTCGTCTCAATTGGTGCTCAACCAGATGACGCCAAAAGGCGTACAGCTCAAAGACAATGCACTATAAAAGTAATGAGGGCTCGGGGTAAAACCTACTATTATATTTTGGTACTGGCAAAGGAGGTCAAATGATGTAGATGCTAACCTGTTTTATTGCCAGAAAGGGTAAAACCTCTTCTTATAATAATTAATAGCTTCAACAGGTCATCACAAATTCAACGTTATTGGCCATATCCAGAAAATAAGTCGCACCACCGATGTTTTGGCATTGGAGCATGACCGGCAAAGCAGACCACGACGTGGTGCGAGTCTACACTTATTTTAAATACAAGTACAGGAACAACCATGCACATTGCATGCTCATGCCAATGCCACCAGAGCGATACGAGAGGGGGTTTTATACGGTCTACTCTTCCACGTTGACCGGACATGTCAAAAAACTCAAGGTGCACCAACTATGACGTGGGAAATTGTTGTTTGTACTCCTGGAAAAGATAGGAAGCCGTTCCGCAAATAACTATGGATAATCGAGTATGATTGCAATAATTCGGCCGAGTCAAGTTGTTTTAGCCGAGTCTTACGGCCCCGGCATACAATTGACGTTCTGGGCAAGCCGGTGACGGATAAAACGGCGTCCTGTACGCTGGATGAGAACACAACAAACAGGTCCCTGCAGGGTGGGCTGGTAGGACAAGTCTCTGCGCTGTCTATTGCTGATTTTACACCCAACAGCACGAGATTTCACTTCGTTAAAGTATTGAAAGGGGACGGACGGACGGACGCATTAATCTATTGCAGGCTGGTACACTCAGTTTACAACTTCGTTCCTACCAGTATAAATAAGTAATATATATATTTTTTAAAACTTTGTTTTTAAACACGCTTTAATGAAATGTACCGTACGAGTAATGGCACAACTCCACGACTACAGGAAGTGGCCCCCGAAGCTTGCCATAACGTAAGGAGCCCGCGGTGATTTACAGCCAACGTCAGTTGAGCGTGGACAATTAGACCCAAGCCGAATACACATTGGGAAGTGGGTTAAAATTGAGTTACAAGATTTGAGGATACAACAACAGAGAGAGAGAGTTAATAAAAAGCGTGTCAAAAAAACCGACGCATCAGAGATGCGTCCCTCACGTGCACAGGGCCTCTCCCCCCACGCCGTGGAGGTCTGTTTGACCATACTTCACCACGCTGGTCAGTGCCGATGGGCGACTTTAGAATACAACGCTGTATTAAATACACTGGTCTGCAATCCCCCCCACGAATTAACTAGCTTAATAGATGTGGCAGCAAGTTTTGTCATACATCGGGTTGGCGAAATGGTGGCTGGCCCAACAGGTTTGCTAGGATCCTAGGCCGCAATGTACTCACGCAATAATCTTAGTTCTTTCGGTAAAGTCACGTTGAAGGGAAACAACAATAACGGTTTTTTTATGTAAATAAATACACCGTTTAAAAATAAATGTATGCAAACCAACACACCTGAAGAAGACCGTTTGTGTTATGGTCGAAACGTCGTGAGAATTGTTTTTATTGTTTTATATATTTTATTATTTTGTTGTTTCCCTTCAACGTGACTTTACCGAAAGAACTAAGAATATGAATTACTGCAGTCACGAAAGCTTTAAATCAAAATTTACTCACGCAATGTTTTACTTTTGTGATTTATTTTGTAGTGACTTGCTTACCTTTTGTTTAGCTTTGCACTCCTCTCGATGCCCGTATTGTTGTTGTTCTTACTTGTGGATCCGGTCCCTGCTGGACATGCGAAAACAAGAGCTTCAAAGCTCATCGGATTGCTCCAAAAATACGTAAAGATTCGATTCTGACTTTGCCATCATCGGTCTGTATCGATCGGATAAGTCTGGGTGCCTGGCCTATATACAGTGTTCAAAATAAGGCGTTAACCGTAGACTAATTCATATTCTTGGTTCTTTCGGTAAAGTCACGTTGAAGGGAAACACTACAATAAAATATATATAAAATAAAAATTCTCACGACGTTTCGCCCATAACACAAACGGTCGTCATCAGGTGTACAATAAATTACTGAAAGTTAACTATACCTAGTTTGAGATCATAGACAATTCGAGAATACAGTAAAAAAAATAAAGAGTTAATCATTCTGTGTGGGTGCACAGTACAACGCTATTGAGATACAATATTGTGTATCTGGCGTGACCATGGCCGAAACACTCCCATCAGATGGCACCTTTCTTTTGCACATTGTTACACAAAAACGCGGTTTGTGTCTCCGTTAAAACAAGAAAAACTACAGTCACACCATTCACTCACCTTTCTTTGGCGATATCGGGTAAAAAAAAGTTAAATTAACTGCAATTATTCACAATCACAAGACATGTGGCTGAACGGCGCTGCCATTGATGACTGCTCAAGCCCATGTGGCCGGAGGAAACAAACCACGTGGCCGGAGAAACCACGTGGCCGGAGAAAACAAACCACGTGGCCGGAGAAACCACGTGGCCGGAGAAAACAAACCACGTGGCCGGAGAAACCACGTTGCTTTTAAAGTTGGCGACTCGGTCGAGGTGGGCGGGAAGTCCGTATACCTCAATACACCGATCACAATTAAGGGAATCAAGATGTTTATTTGCCCAGTAGAAACCCATTCAGCTAATAAACTATTTCTTCAAGGGCGACTAGGCCGGCTTGCAACATCGAGGCAATTTCCACATTTGCAGATTCCAAAAAAGCAATAATGTTGGTTTAAACTTGAGTGATTTTGAGTGACAACAGTTTAATGAAGACCGATATGGTTTAATGGGGGGGGGGGGGGGGTACCAAGAAACGAAACTTCGGTGGTTCAAACACTTTGGGGGCAGCTACATTTAATTATTTATAATCCAAAATGTGTGCAAAATCTGGGATATGTTAATAAGCAAACGTGCATCGCAGATATTATTTTGTACTGTGTAATGGTTATAACAGGTAAGACAAAGAACAGATATACGGACTATAGTATTTTACAGGTTTTTCACGCATTTTTGTTCGGTCATAATTGCCTTCATATTAGTTTAACACGTAGGCTTTCGCGACCAATATCATCCATGATACAGGTTTTTTTTGGAGTGGTTAGATCGCGTAAAATGTACTCGGATTGTAAATGTTGTAATGGTGTGGCTAAAGTGCTTTCGTTGCGAACGTCAAACGAATATCAAACGTCCAACCAACGTTGGTTTCTTCGTCCGCCGAGGAAGGAGACGGAGCGATTAAATCAACGTGTGCGAAGCCCTTTAACATCGCGGGATATATCGTGGAAGGTAGCGACAGCTGAGCTATATACATAGCCCAATAACAATCCACACGACCACGGGGAGAGAGAGAGACACGCGAACTCCAAATACACAGCAGCAGGTGTCAGGGTCGAGATTGAACACCCACGACCTCCTGTATACCAGGCGAGGTAGTTAACATCTCACCCATGGAGAGAGACGTCAACACCAAATATACAGCAGGTGTCAGGGTCGGGATCGAACCCATGCCGGCGTTGACAATCGTGGAGTATATTAAACAACCCCTGTGACCTACGACGGGCTTGGAGAGGCCATCATCCAGCGGTGGATAGACCATGTGCCAAGGGATGAAGGTAAGCTCCCGTATAGCCATTAAGATAACTTTTTTTGCGGCAAGCGCTGTTAGCGAGAGCACCGCGTGAAGGCCGACACGGCACACGAGGTGGTGCCGGCCAGCACCACGCACGGCCGCCTTTGTATCCCGAGCGGCGGCGACGACCACCGCACCGCACACCAAATATTCTCTTTACTCGTTCGCGGCTGAGTCGACCTAGGAGACGGCTCAGTTAATCGTCACCGATGTTGACCGTGAGCAGGAATCGAACTGTGGTGGTGGTTGTGCGTAGCGCAGCGCACGCTTCCCAACGAACGCTCTCCAACATCACCCATCACGCCGTTATGGGTGTTGTTGTTGTCGTCGTGTTCGGAGTGGGCAAGCAAGTAAGCGCGGTCTTCCCACCTTATTTATCCCATCGTGCGGGAGCGAGCACTGTAGACCAGGATGGCCGAGTGGTTAAGGCGTTGGACTTAAGATCCAATGGACGTATGTCTTCGTGGGTTCGAACCCCACTCCTGGTAGCCATTACTTTTTGATCGCATTTTTTTTTTGCGATCCGTCGCTTTTCATTATCCGAGCGCTCCCCTTTCCCCGGGGTGCCACGCCGTCTCGTCGTCTCTCCACCCCCCCTCCTCCTCCCCCCGCTAGGATAACTCTTCCTCGCCACCAAAACAGCTTTATTTATTATTATTAAAATGTGATGGGAAGAGGACGGACGTCGGTCGCAAGTTGCGGAAACGTGTTTCAGGCATCTCCCCCTCGTCACCGCGACCAGCGCCAATGCCGCCAGTGGTGGCCACGGGTTACTGCGGTTGCGTGGGGTCGCGGCGTGCACTAGCGCCCTGTCACCACGAGGCGGCGCTGTTTGCCGGCGCTGTGACACGCAGCAGTGGCCCCGGCGGCTGCGCTGCTCATGTCGGAGATTCCTTTTATGAATCCGATGAGCTATAAAGCTCTTTTTTTGTTTGTTACACACAGATGTCTTTCAGTATGGGCGAGTCAGCAGTGCAGGCAGGTTCCAGTTCTCTTGTGACCTCTTCCCCCCCCCATTTAATTTTCTAAAACGCAATATACTTTTGTAAAGGGCTATTTAAAACAGCAATTAATATGCAAAGGGTAACAAATGTTAGGGGTCAATTATTTGGGGAGGGGGGGTGTCACAAGACATCTGGACCATCCTGCTGTTCTGCTGTACACCAACTCTCTCATGAAGCCCTTTCGTCGTGGCCGGCAGACCTCGACTTTGAAATGTGTCGCTCGTGAACATATTTAACAGATAATGAGCATAGTGAAAATAAACATAGTGAACGAATTTGCCACACGCAAACATAGATTCGAAGTGCACCCAAATAGCTCGCAAGGGCCACCCCCCCCACCGCCCCCCTCATTCGAGAACAAAAATAAGTCTGGGTGGCATTCAGCCGAGCCCCTGGTGAACATTCAGAAAAACGGGCCGCTACCCACCACCACCACGAAACAACGTCGCAAGCGACTATTAAATAAAATTTAAAAACCTCCTACGTGAGTCGCGCCACAATATGAACGTCATTTGACCGTCAGCACGGACGAACGGGAACGGCGTCTCCCCGTTAACGATTTCGTTTGCCGTACCTCCCCACCCCCTCCCCCTACGCGCAACGAGGCAAGGGCCACCGAGCAGCAGGAACGGGACAACGGGAAGTGGAGGATATCTTGATGACAAGAGACACGTGGCGCCTGAGACACGTGGGCGAGGCGATTCCAGAGTTTAGGGACAGCGGCGTTTTTGACCTCACCCAAATAAGTATTTAATTAATAAGCCGCCCATACAAAATGTGAATTGCTTTAAAAGAGGCAATTAATTGATTAATTTGATGCCGATTTTGATACAGGCATGCATTGTCACCGGATCTGAGTACGTGTGCAAAATTTTGAATTCATTGGACAACAGGAAGTAGACTACATTTTGATTACAAGATTTGACCACGACTAACATGAGATTCAAATTAAGTAAAACCGTTGAAAAAATAAACTCAACAAACACGCTTTCGACAAAAAATGTATTTAAAGCTTTCGTGACTGCAGGGGTTCATATTCATGGTTCTTTCGGTAAAGTCACGTAGAAGGGAAACAATACAATAATTAAAATAATAAAAAATATAAAACAATAAAAATCTCACGACGTTTCGACTTCAACACAAGCAATCATCATCAGGTGTGAAAACCACAACAATAATTTTTTTGCAAATGTTCTTGCTGTGGTTTTCACACCTGATGATGATTGCTTGTGTTGCAGTCAAAACGTCGTGATAATTTTTTTTTGTTTCCCTTCTACGTGACTTTACCGAAAGAACCAAGAATATGCTTTCGACAGTTGAGCAGTGGTGGCTCGCGAAATCTCCACTAGGCGGGGCTGTTCGTGAGTGACCTCTGAAAAAATGCGGTGTTCTAATAAAAAAAATCCTATGTTCTAATAAAGAGCAACCTCGTCGTGTTATATTGGCCTTCCCGTGAAAGTGATTTTCTGTCTCGTCTACCAGCCGTAGGCATTAATAAATACGAAACAAAGCACTCAAATATTGTCCCCATGACACTCAAGTCCACACTACACAACCCCCTTTGACACTGGCAAAAGAACAATTAAAGATCAGCTCAAAAAAATTAACCAAGGCAACAAAGACACCGCATACTGAACAATAACAGCCACATACCCTCGTACACCGTCCTACACAAAAACCTTTGATCTGTATTCACTGGGGACATTCATACAATGTACACAGGCCTACGATGTACTTCACTTTTCGTTGTGGTCACTCTGTCTCACTGTTATCTGTGGCAACAGTAACATCACTTTGACGGATGGATAGCTAGGCTCATACTGACAACCTATACATTTGATTTTGGGTTGAAGACGCTATTAAGTGCAATGTAACAAACATTTCTGGTTTTAAGGCTACATGAGTGCTCTTAGGCTACATCCTTAACTTTACTTCAATCAACCCATTAAATCGCCATTAAATAATTAACATAGCTCACTGTATATAATATCCCCAAGATCGGCTACCCATAATAGCTGGCTCCCTTTCCTCTAAATTGGCCTATTTGTACAATATTTTTGCACGTCGTTCCTTCTGAGAAACAAACTTTGTTGTTGCTTCCTCCTGGAGCGTGTACAGGCCCTTCAAGTTTCATTTATTTGGTACAGCCCTGTGAGCCACGCGACTCTTGAGTCGGGTGAAACAGCAACAAACAAAATATGAACAATAAACGATATACATAGCATGTACGATCAAACTTGCAGCCATATCTGGCAGCATGATACTCCCAGTGTATGATGTGTGAGTGAGTCAGTGGGAGTGTGAGTGAGTGCATGATGTGTGAGTGAGTCGTCGTATGATGAGTGAGTCATCGTATGATGAGTGAGTCAGTGGTTGTGTAAGTGAGTGTATGATGTGTGAGTGAGTCAGCGTTTTGCGAGCTGCTACTAATTGCACGGTGCAACCTCTCGTCGTGACCTCGTCTCATTACAGCCACGGCCGTCTTTCTCCCCGCCTTTGAATGGGTTTCAAACGGCGTGGCTACAACGCTAGAAGCTCATCGCAACGAACGAAGGGGAAATCTCTCACTCGGAGGACGCCTTCACAGCCGCCCCGAGACCTCCCCTAGGCACAAATCAGACTGCGCTGTTGCAGCAACTTTAAATGTTACCTTCATTAGGAAATTCACGTTGAAAGAGTCATGTTTCTTTTTTTTTAAACACAACAAAACAATTTATAGAAAATTCTCATTGGTTTTTTCGGTTAAGTCACGTATGTGGAAATACATTTTTTTTTAAATAAAATTAGATTAAAATAAATCACAATTTTATTTTATTTATTTAAATTTTATTTCATTTCCACATACGTGACTTTACCGACAAAGCTAATGAGTATAGTAATTTCTGCAGTCACGAAAGCTTCAATTGTAGATTGATTTATAGAAAAGTATTTTTATTCGTAAAATAATGTCTCACCTCCAGCTGCTTGGTAGCGACATAACGCCCCTAGTGGACGAATCTCGCCTGCAATTGAGCACTTTTAATCTTACCTATAAAACCGTGTCAACCCATGCGGTTTACTTCGTATTCTTGAACAGGGAAATTTAGTTTTCAGGTCCATACGGCGTACAGCCGTTTCAATACGGGGAACAACAAAAAAACATCTCCATTTGTTTGTGTTCTCCCTTGTGATGGGACTTTGTAGGATGAACGTTGAAATTGTTTCAGAACGCCTGTATATTGATGGACATAAAAAAATAATTTATATTATATTATGAGACCTCCTTTGCCAGTAGCAAGATATAGTAATAGCTTTTTACCATTTTATCTGGCACCAAAACTGACACCTTTATACAAGGAATCATGTTTGCAATAACCACAACACAAGCAGTCAAAATGCAAACAAAAAAAGACAACTCTGATGATATGCACTGTCTTTGTATAAAGGTGTCAGTTTTGGTGCCAGATAAAAGTGTAAAAACCTATTACTATATCTTGCTACTGGCAAAGGAGGTATCATAATGTAAATGCTTATCCCGAGCTCTCAATACTCTGGTAGTGTGCTGTTTTTGAGTTGTACGCGTTTTGGCGTCATCTGGTCCAACACCAGTGGAGACTAGGCTCTAAGAAAAGCCGTCTCGGGTGTGGACCAATCAATTTCAAGGACAGTGCATATCATTATCAGAGTTGTCGCTTTTTGTTTGCATTTTGACTGCTTGTGTTGTGGTTATTGCACACATGATCCCTTGTATAAAGGTGTCAGTTTTGGTGCCAGATAAAAGGGTAAAAACCTATTACAATAAATATATACTTTTTTGGCGTTGAAACAGATCGTTTCCCATCAATATATTGTCTCGTACATATCAGTATGCACGTGAACAAACTGCATATGCATTATTTTAATGTCGAACTGTAATTATAAACCAGCAGAAGGGAACACCATTGCACCTGAAGATGTCTAACACACTTGGTCACCGACCCAATCACAAAGAAAACATGAAAACGAATATAAACATTACCCTCGCTGACCAGGGAATTTTCTATATATGATGCTGTACAGAAGGCGCCGTGTCTTATCCTATATATAGGGGCTATTGCCCCAAGGGTAGAAGCAAATTGCAATAAGTAAATAGCTTGTTTCGGTACTTTCTAGCCGACTTCAAAGTACAACGCGCAAAGCTGTTGGCCCGGCGTGGCCAATTGAAGAATTGATGAATTCGGGAAGTGGGTTATTCCCATTTACCTCTGATTTCGCCTTAAATTGTGGAATGATTGAATTCAGCCGATCTACTTCGCAAAATAACACGATGCAATAAGAATTATGATAATGGCTTCAATGAGTTGGCAGAGAACACACACAAATTGTTTTTTTTCCTTTTAATGTGCGTTCGGGTGAGCGAGAATTGGGTTTTGAGAACACCTGCAGTTCATCCATCTCACCTAACCTCACTCCACCTTCCCCCATGCAGACCAACGCGGGCAGTCATTCATACCCCACAGCTGGGCCGTTGCCCGTAATGGCTAGGACCTCACGTATCTATGGGAGGGAGTGTTTTCCATTTCGCGTGCGAAGCTCATGAAA